GCAAATGCTCTCGTACGCCCCTGGGCTTGTTCTTGTGTTTAAAAAATATATACTTCCAACAGCTTTAAAAAGAACGACATTTATAGTAAATGTGGGCAAAATGCCTAAAAATTTCTGTTGTTCTAGTGTCTTTTCATTTATTTTTTATACGTTTCTGTTGAGACTCTTAGTCCCTGGCTTAGCTATATTCACTATGTACAGGGTGTTCCAAACATGGTAATTCAGTGCCGACTTTTATATCACCTTCGATCCGTGTGGCATTTTTTCATGAATGAACACAATTTTATCAGTATTCCAGCTTAAACATCAAATATCGCTAGGTTTTGAGAAATTCAAAATTTTCAAAACCAATTTTGAATCTTCAAAATTAACGGATATATTACATTTTTAAGAAACAAGAAAAGTAGACCACTTTATTAAAAGCCCGTCAGCCGTACAGCCTCGTTTTTTAAATTTTTTTCCATGCATTAAATATCAGACATCAAAGACGACTTTCATGTCGTCTCTTAATTCCCATGTTTATTGGGACACCCTGTATATAAAGTCCCCTATTACAGTCTACAGCAGAATTTTGTAAATCATCCACTAGCCATATTTGTCCACCTTCTCCCTTAATCGTCGTAGGTCTATGACATAAGTAGTAAATGTTCCTGTTACTCTCCAGTATATTTTTTTTAATTGACAAATTTTGTTAAAGAAGGTCCTATATCATGATCATGCTGGAGTCAAGTGAGGGGGGGCGACAGGGGATGCAAAATATGCTGGGGGGGTGAAAGTCGGTTCGCCCCCCTCCCCCCCCCCAGTCGGTTCCCAAGCTATTAAAAAAATAATTCAAAAATTTGACAGTGTCATGCGTTTTCCCATAGCTTTTAGTTAAAGCTATCAGGGGTGGGTCAATATGATTCCTTTTTCAATCTCATTTGGGATTGACAAATTTGAAAGAAATGGGGGCAAATTCTTTAATTGGGGGCAAATTTTTTTGAAATGATAATTTAAAAAAAAATTGGGGGCAAAAAAATATTTTGGGATCGAGAAAATCAGCTTTTTTGGGAATTATATTGACCCCTGAAAGCTATTTGATGGAGAACTACAGTTTGAAATTTTTACAATTACAACCAAATTGGCATTTCATAGATTGATTTATTCATTCATAATTTACATTCTGAATCACAGATTGAGCTGTTTTATTCTTGACTTTTGAAATCTTTAGATTTATCTTTATCTGTCAATTCATCTGTGACAGCTTTATCCAGCTGGTTGTTCACTGTCAATTCATCTGTTGTCTGATGTATAGCCCATTTCTGCAGCTGATCTGATCCCTGGAAAAAAAATTTTCTTTACAATAAAAAAATTACCACTGATCAAATGCAGAGGTACTTTTTACAGTCAACATTCTACGACATAAAATTCAAGATTTTGTGCTTTGGAAAACCGCCTGCATGGAATTGAATTTTATATTCTTACTAAATTAAACTGTTCTAAAATGTTTTCAATTATAACTCCTTTATTGCAGACCTATTGAGAAAAACAAATGTTTTGAAAATGTAACTGAATAAATTTGCTTTTTTCTCTTACTTGTGCATAAAATCTAGTTCATTGCAGTGTAATAACATATTTGGAATTATAAGTCTTTGCCATAAACTTTGATTTTCTAATCCCTTAAGGTCTTTGACATGTCGATATTTCAAACTATAAATTCTGTTAGATCAAATAATTCAATTTTTCAAAAATATCAAAGGAGATTAATTAGAAATCAAAGATTGTAACAAAAACCTGGTTTCTTTAATGGAATTGTACAGTTGTACAAGCTTTTCCATTGTACACATGTACACTGTACAGACTGTTTACCTTGACAAGGAATAGAATAGACCCTGCAACATGAACAGCAGCACTGAAACATAATATCTTAAAGAGTTTTTCTGCATGAGGGTATTTTCTGCATGAGGGTATTTCTGCATGAGGGTATTTTCCCGAAATTATCTATGAACGCAACACAGAACATTCTGCTGCCATCACTTTAGTTTCAGTAGAAGTAAGTATTTCCATTTACTGTTTTAGCGCCGATATAAGGATTTTTTTCCTAATTGGATAATGAGATAGATAGAAAGATAGATGTTACCGCCATGCTGTTTCTATTGGGTCAGAATAGACAACAAACACATGACTGAACCCTGATTGGATCAAGCGCTAATGGACTCGGCATACTAGAGTGCCATATATATACAGGGTTACCCACAAAGGATGAGACTGTAAAGGCGACCGTAAACTCTTAAAATAAGACTATCCCAAGGTTAAATTATGTATTCTGCCTTAGATATAGTTATCTGATGGCTTATTTAATGATTTGACATAGAAACAAACACGTTTACAGTTGCAGGGAATCGTGAATATAAGGATACAAATCGTATAAATTCTCATCCTTTGTGGGTAACCCTGTGTATTTAAGCAATTACCATACACTATAGCAGTTATTGGCCCAATCCTTAAATATATGCAATAAGCATTTAATAATATACATATTTGGATATATGCGGTCATCATATCTCTTTTTTTATGGGATAAAAAGTAAATTCTAGGTGAAAATGCAACAAAAAAAATCAAAGTTTTGGGTGGAAATGTTCAAACCCGACGCGGCTTGGAACTATTTCTGGTATCATGGGGGTAACATAGAAAATGGCTGATCGTATCAACCGTTTCAATGGATTGAAACAAGCAAATGAATGAATAAATAAACAAACTGAATTAAGGAATTATATTTCTTCAAATTGCACTGCTTGGTGTAGGCTTGCGGCGAAAATAAGCGCTTTTGATTGCTAGCGCTTCTATTTGTTGTGTCTAAAAGGAGAAAATTGTTAAAGACTACTCATACGGAAGAACGTAGCGTCCATAAAAATTCAGAAAGTTTCAATACTCAATTCGGATCGTAAACAAATTAATTTCATTCCAAACAAATCATTCAGATATTACAAACAATAGTCATCGATTATTTTTCGACGCATTCGTAAATAGTTGTTATTTCATAATTTTTTTTATTTTTCATGATCTGAGACTTATTTTTTAAAACATTTATTCCTGTTTCGAGGATTTTCGATAATGAAGACGACATTTTCATATTTTCCAGGATTGTTCGAAAATATTATTTAAAAAAATACATCAAGCCTAATATAATTAATTCAGAAGATTGTTGAATAGTAAGACGACTGCAGACTAGTTATAATTTTTTTAATCCAATGAACATGAAACACTGTGCAGAGTACACAGACACATTTTACAAGATTATATATAAGTCTCTTGTAAAACCATTTGCTATTCAACACAAATACAAAAAAAATATTGATTAAATGTCGTCTTGCTATTCCACAGTTTTGTTGATTTCACTGTACCTGACCCAGAAGACGGTTTGCCACTCTGCCAGCGTGTTTTCGTTCAGGATTAGTCCAACTAATTGAGGAGCTACGAAACCAGGGATATTTGCAACCGTATTCGAGAATCCAAATACTATTCCTAGATAAACAAAGAAACTTCAAACATATACAAAGTAAAAAAAAAAAATTGGAATGAACAAGATGCAGGACGCTTCGCGTCCCCTTTTCTATTAAAAAAAATTTGACCCTCCTGTCAAAAGGCCATTTTTTCTTTGTAATTGTAAACTATGCTTTAGCTTCATAAATCATAAATCAATTTTCTTCCCATAAATCCAACAAAACTCTTCCAGGAGTTCAATTTAAATTCAGAGGATTCAGATAATTTATGGTTGAAAATTTTAAGAACATGATGAATGATCATCTTTGCAAGGAAAGCTTCTGAAAGTGACTGTAGGCGTAAATTATTGGGTTTCTCCATTTGTAGAAATGTCGGGGTCGGTGTGTGGGCGGGGCCTAGTGTTATTAATAGTTATTAGAGCAAATTTAATAAAATGTCACAAAGTTCAAAACTGTATTATCTTAAACTTTGATTTTATAAAACTTCGCAATATCTTTGACTTTAAAAATTAAAACTCCAAAAACGATCCGAAAAATGATTGTTACGAAATGTTCCTTTTTGCATCGTTTTTGGGTCATTTTTTGCATCATTTTTGACATCCTTTTTACATTAATTTTGGGTCGTTATTAGGTAGTGTAACATTTAATCCCTTGATATCGTTACAATCCCAGACATAAATCCTAGGGAAATCAAGATCAATCGTTGCCCCCCATCTTTGAGGGTTAATGCAAGACTTCACTTTCATTCCCAGTACCAGTTCATAATTCACCCAAACCTCTCCTCTTATGTATAATATCTATCTCTCAAGGTCTTGAATAAGTGGGTGGTTTAGCATTACACATTTTATTGGTACAAATATATCTGTTAATATCTATTCATATCAAATCATATTCCATATATTTGTGGAGTCCCTCAGCGGTAAAACAAGCCTCCACTAACTCTTATATGAGGAAGAGTCCCTCAGCAATTAAGCAAGTCTCCACTAATTCCTGTATGAGGAAGAGTCCCTCAGCAATTAAGCAAGTCTCCACTAACTCCCAACATAAAGAGTCCCTCAGCGGTTAAGCGCGTCTCTACAAAGCTCCTGGAGTCATTATATTGTCCCGTGTATGAGCCCACCGTGTAGCTTGCTGCATCACCTCAATTCTCTGGATGACCCGGAGTTCCCTGAGTCTATTCAATTCCTCTATGATCTCTAGTGATCCATTGGGTGGTTCTAAGCGATCTAAGGGTGAGGCAGCCATCCAAAGTATTCCCCTGTTTCTGAGTTGTGTCTCTAAGTTCTCAATCCTACTTCTCAGTCTGAGGTATCCTCGATAGGTCCTCCCAAGATTCTCTTGCTCTAGGATCGCCATCTCGGAGTTGATCAAAGCGTACAACTTCACTGGACTCAGATTGTGGTGAACCGTCCCGCAACCAGGGTAACCTGTCCTCCAGGTTCCTTTGCAAGGCATCTGTTACAATTCTGGTGTTGGAGGTTGCTGTCCTCAATGGAGTTACTGTCTCCTGGAAGGAAGGTTCCAATATGTCCGGAGAGTCCCTCAGGAGTTCATCTAGTTCCGGGTCTGAGTCTATCTCATCCACTGGTACACTTACGGTGGACTCCAATAAAGGTGAGATTCTTCCAGTGATCCAGAATCCTCCAGTTCTCTCTATCAGGTCTGGAGCTCGATATATCCCATCTTCATAGATCCTCATGATCTCCTCTTCACCTGGGGTCATGGAAACCAATCTAACCGATCTAACCAATCTAATTAATCTAAACGATCAAACAGATCTAACTGATCTAACTGACCTAACCGATCTAATTGATCTAACCGATCTAATCGATCTAACCGATCTAACCAATCTAACCGATTCAACCGATCTAACTGATCTAACCGATCTAACCAATCTAACCGATCTAACCGATCTAACCAATCTAACCGATCTAACCGATCTAACCGATCTAACCGATCTAATTAATCTAACCGATCTAAACGATCTAATTAATCTAACCGATCTAATTAATCTAACCGATCTAACCGATCTAATTAATCTAACCGATGCATGAGAAATCTTGAAAATTTGGCTTCTAGAGTCTTGACGGTTTAATATTCAATTTAACATATAATATTACAATATTTTTTGGTGAAAATGATTATTATTTTGTGTCCCTAACCTGCCAAAACTATGCAGAGAGCTGTGACCCAGAGTCCAATAATAGTGTTCAGTTTTCGTATTCTAAACAATTGTTTTATTACACACTAGCTGATCGGCCCGTAAAATATTTTTAAAAAAACATTTTTTTAAAGAAAATACAAAAAAAAATTTATATTAAAAAAAAAATCTTTTTTTTATAGCTTATTATAACAAAAATAATAATAAAAATTTCGAATTCTGTTTAGCCTGTTTAGCCACCCATGAGTGTCCAGTGTCCACAAACAATTTAAGCCCATTTGGTCCAGACGTTTGGCCGGCTATGCGCAGTATAGATATGAATGTCTTGTTTTATAGTATAGATTATGAAAGTAACATATGTTACAGAAAAATATACAAATACGTTTACAATTTAAGAATTTTTATTTCCACGGGCAACGCCGGGCCCTCCAGCTAAGTCTAAATAAAAATGTCTAATTTGTTTATTTTGTGAATGTTATCATTAGGATTTATTTCTGCTTGATGCTCATTAGTATTCATTCAATTTGTCAGAAAAAATATATATTTATACAATTTTTATGTTGGAAAAGAATATAAAGTTCCAAAACTAACACTCAGTGTTAGAAATGAGCCAAATCTACAAAGTTATCTTTTTCAAGAGAATATATCTTTAAATCCAAGACGAGTAGAACAAAATTACACCATATATATTAATGTAATATGATATAATTATAATAATGAGAGACTGTATCAATAAAGTTGAGGACAGAAAGAAACCTACTGTCTGTTCGCTGTTAGAATTGTGATTTTAATTTCTTGCACCACACGAGAATAGGCTTAAATTTTCGTATTTGCTATTATAATAAATTTGTTTTGTACGGTATAAAGCTACAAATGTACTTTACAACACAACAAATTTACTGTATATAGCAAAATAAAAGTACTGTACAGCAAAGCAAAAGTAATTTACAGCACAACAAAAGTACTGTACAGAAAAACAAAACAATACAAAAAATAGAATAAATATTTTCCCAACAATTTTTTTAAAAGATTCATTCTTTCACAAAAATTTGGTTCCGCGGATAATTTTTCAATACTCAAAAAATGCGTTGATTTTTATCACATTTAGTTTATGCCTAAAATCCGAACGAAATAAAAATTTTGAAAATTTTGTCTAAATTATCAATAATCTTATAAAATGTACAAGACATAGATGAGCCATGTATATACTTGAGGAGAGTTACATTTAGGCATTTGCACGAATTATAAAGAACATCTAGGACCTGAGGTTGCACTAACCATTGAGGACATAATGGAGGACAATCCTCAGATCCAAAATATTTCTTCAAGATCGGTTAAATTACCCAAAATAGAGACTGTAGAAAATTAATTTGCCACTTCTCAATTGGGACACACTTCCTCTTCACAAAATTTGATATCAAAAGTGAAAAAATGAATTCAATTTTTTGAATTTATTAAATTGAAATGTTTCTCAAATACATTTCTTAGTTAAATACGTATACTCAGTAATACTTATTTGTTAATATAATAATAATAATATGATTTACAAGGCAAAATTTGTTTGAAAAATATACTGAATATCTAATACAAAAAAGTAGAAGTAAGATTGTGTGACATTGTAATTGATGCAACTTTTCATAGGTGCCTCGTTCTCAGTAAACGTTTTCAAAGTTTAAACTAGATATTTAAATTTTAATTCAAGTAGAAGTTTTCATTAATTAGATATACAATAATTCAATTTTAGTTCAATTTACTGATTCAAACATACACGAACACAAATAACCCGGGGTTTGTGGAAATAAATTTTAATTATTTTTTACCAATTTCATAGATATTATTTTTCTAGGTCTTCTATAACTATAAAAATGTAAATAGGAATTTTCACTTCTATTTAAAATTTGCAACTTTTTATGACCTTCAAACACAAAATTAATTGTTGTTTATAAAACATACATTGCAAGCACCTCCATACCATGTCCTTATTCACCTTTCTCATTCGCAACACAAAGATATTTTTTACTTTTATTATTTTTTTTTTGGGCCAGGGGTGTGGGCACAAGCTCACGCGTATAAATAAAACGAAATATCAATAAATCTATTTCCAGTTTGTTATCAAAGTCTTTCCTACAAACCATAGCAACACAAAGATATATATTTCAAGAGTGCGATCCAATCTTTTAGTAAAAAGTTTATTAGTATTTGACAAATGAAGCTAAAAGTCCCAAATATACAATGTTGAGAATCGATGTTTTCTTTTATTAGAAAGAAAACATGTTCTGTCAATGTCACTCCTCGTCTTTGCTGAATACATATACACATTTGACCAATATCCTTTAACTGAGAATCAGCAATGTAATATAATCAATTTTCATAAACAAAAATTGAATGAGACAAAGATTTAAAGGGTTATGTCGTTGTAAATCTAGCCACTCATTTTTATTATTATTGGGCCACTAGAGATTCTGCCAACAGTCTCATTAATGTATTAAAAATGATATTTTACCTAATTGTTGATATGAACTGTTTCTGTCTGATCCAGTCTGTGAACCAGGACGCCAGGACACAAACTATCCATTGAAGGATATAACAGATAGAGGACAGTAAACCAGACAGTTGGAGATCAAACCTTCATCCTTCATTCATGCACTTTATCCTCATTCTTCACCCGTACTTTTCATTCATACTCTTCATAACTACCCCTCATCTATACCCCTCATTCATACTCTTTATACTTCATTCATACCCTTCATTCATACCCTTCATCCATACCCTTCATCCATACCCTTCATCCATACCCTTCATCCATACCCTTCATCAATACCCTTCATCCATACCCTTCATCCATACCCTTCATCCATACCCTTCATCCATACCCTTCATCCATACGTTGGATCGCTTCACGTAAGAGGGTGCTAGAGCGTCGGGAAACCCGTCGGTCGCAGTGTGCAATTTAATCTTCCCTTCATATCGATGCTCTTCGTCCATACCCTTCATCCATACACTTCATCCATACCCTTCATCCATACACTTTATCCATACCCTTCATCCATACACTTCATCCATACCCCTCATCCATACACTTCATCCATACCCTTCATCCATAACATGATCAATAAATACCCTTCATCCATAACTTCATCAATACCCTTCATCCAAACCCTTCATTCATACCCTTCATCCATACCCTTCATCTCTACACTTTATCCATATCCTTCATCCATACACTTCATCCATATCCTTTATCCATAATCTTCATCAATTCTTCAAAGTTAATAATGTTTAAAATGTTTATATTTTTCAAAAGTCTTACATTTGTGCACAGCAAATGTTTAACAAAATTCCTCAATAAATAAAATAAATAAAAGCCCGGTTTTCTACCCTACCTAGAACCCTCCGATTATATACTTTAACACGGAAAATTTCATATCATTCAATTAATTAATTAATTAACAAGATCAAACACAGTGTACATACTACATACAATACATCATGTGCTTGAATCCCTTAGAACAGTTTTCAAATATGTCGGGAGCTGAAACAAGGAAATGAAGAAAAATAAAATAAATTACACAGATTTTTGTTAGTCATTACTTTCCTAGCAAAACATTTTTGTCTCACCCCCCTTCCTCTGGGTGAAAGTATGCAATCTTAAAATTTTCCCTCTGTACAAAATTCTCTAGTCTGTGACTAGAAAGGAAACAAAGAGGTAAAGCTTACTTCTGATGTACAACTCTATTTAATTAATATGGTGGTTGGTTGTGTACATCATGATATGTGTTCGTTTCTAACACTGTACACTTGTATATAGAGTGTTCATATTTCTAGCGGGGATTTTATGGAATTGATAAATTTTTAGATTTTCTATCTATATATAAATATATATATAACAAAAATTCGAGGATGTCGATTGTAAACATTTTATGGATTTTAGCACAATTTGAAATCAAAGAGGGAAAATGTGCTTGTAGCGTAATTTATTTTTTTATTCAGAATTCCATTAAGAGGAAAAGGCCTTCCCCCCCCCCCCCCTCCGTTTTTATAGTTGTGACTTTGAGAGTAAATGAATTATGTACCATGTATAAAGTAAGCTTCATAAGTTTACCATACAGAAAGAAAAAAAAACAGTCAACTATGGACATCAGGAATATTTTGAGAAGCAATCTACCGGTAGGGTTTCCACCGGAATTCCGGTTTACAGTTTACGTACGGAAATGATACCGATTTTTTTTTATTGTTATGGAAAAGGTTCTGGAAATCCGGAATTCCGGAACGATTTCCAGAACGATTTTTCCGTAAACTGGAAATTTCCGGAACTTATGTTCTATTCCGTAAACCTGTCTCTATTCCAGCCTCAAACCTGTCCTATCCCGAGCCTTTGGCCGAGGTAGAGGTGAGCATCGTTAGTTTTTATTCTTCAGATATTCTAAGATTTTTTGCTGGTTTGAGGCTTCACAAAAATATACTAGGAATACGGGGTTTTCCTTAAAAATCATGCAGATTTTCAAATATGACAGAAGATAACAGCCCGAACTAAGCAAATCAATTGTTTGTTAACAAACATTTGAAAAATCGTTCAGACTTTGGACAAAATCAAGAAGCAAGAGTCATGAATATCTAAAAAACGGTTTATAACAATAACACTTTGGGCCCAGGCATTGAATTGCCCTAATTTAATAACAAAATTTAGTATCCCTTTCCAACTTTGACTTTTGAGATTGCATACACTTTAACTCAGAGGGGGGAGGGTGTAGAGTGGTCAAGAAATCTGGCTCGTATAGAGGAAAATCCTGTTTTTCGCACCTGTTGGTTTAAAGTGTAGTTCCCCCAGTTAGAAGCTGTATGTCCCAACACTAATCCCCAAACAGGAGCTGAGAAAAATATTGCCCGCCAGGGGGTTATACTGTCTGCTCTAAACAGATATGAATATTTCCCACCAAGGTTTTATACTGTCTACTCTAAACAGACATAAATATTTCCCACCAAGGTTTTATACTGTCGATGTTAGGTACATTCCCAAAGTACCTAACATACTTTGGGAAAGTATCTAATACCATACTGTCTAGTGTCTATTTATTCTGTCTGATCTCAACAGATACAAATATTGTCCACCAGGGGGTTAAACTGTCTGCTCTAAACAGATACAAATATTGCCCGCCTGGGGGTTATACTGTCTGCTCTAAACAGATACAAATATTGCCCGCCAGGGGGTTATACTGTCTGCTCTAAACAGATACAAATATTGTCCACCAGGGGGTTATACTGTCTGCTTAAAATATTAAAGATCAAAATAATTTTTAAGAATAATCCAGAATTTAGAAAATATATTACCTGTGACCTGTGTCTCCGATATGTTTGATAATATGGTCTCTTTCTTCAGCATCAATCCTAAAACATTAATTGAAAAAATAAATATTTTATTATCTATATATGTATATTGTAACCCCGATACAATATATATTTTATTATCTATGTATGTATATTGTAACCCTGATACAATATATATTTTATTATCTATTTATATATATGTATATTGTAACCCCGATAAAATATATATTTCATCATCTATATATACGTATATTGTAACCCCTATACAATATATATTTTATTCTCTATGTATATGTATGTTGTAACTCCGATACAATATATATTTTATTATCTATATATATGTATATTGTAACCCCGATAAAATATATATTTTATTATCTATATATATATGTATATTGTAACCCCGATACAATATGTATTTCATCGTCTATATATACGTATATTGTAACCCCGATACAATATATATTTTATTCTCTATGTATATGTATATTGTAACTCCGATACAATATATATTTTATTATCTATATATATGTATTTTGTAACCCCAATAAAATATATATTTTTTATCTATATGTATATGTATATTGTAACCCCGATACAATATATATTTCATCGTCTATATATACGTATATTGTAACCCCGATACAATATATATTTTATTATCTATTTATATGTATATTGTAACCCTGATACAATATATATTTTATCATCTATATATATGTATATTGTAACCCCGATACAATATATATTTTATTATCTATAATCCACCACTAAAATGCAAAAATATTTTATCAATTGGAAAATGCGTGTTAGGTTATTCATCAATAGATTTTAATGAAACTTTAGAATAGAATAAAAAACTTATTTTTTAATGGATTTGTTAAAAAAAAGAAAAAAAATGCTATAAAATTTGATTTCGCGTTGTTTGTGTTAAAATAAATTTAGCATTTTCTTACTTTATTTAATATTTTTTAACCCCAAACATGAATCATGAAAACATTTTTATTGTGGTTTGTAAACTAAAGTTAATGCCGCTTTTTTACTCACTTTGTAAGTAACATGAAAAAAAACACAAAAAGAACTAAAAATTTACCACAAATTACAATTTTCTAATCTTTAAATCTTTGCAAGCTGGTGTTGTAGACTTTTCATATTTCAAACTATGACTTCTGTTTGATAAGAAAGTCTAAGGACAGTGGACATGCCACTCCCTAAATGGAAGGTCACTTGAAATTACGTCTCTAGTCCGTTTAAGAGACACTTTGAGTTGAAAGTCTAATGCTAAAGACTTTCATTCACAAATTTTAAAAACCGCTAAAAATAATAATATAACATCTTTATATTGCATATTCTTCTACACATTCTCTAAAAAGGTTAAAAATACAACAGCAACATACAGGGTGAGTAAAAAAGGGATTAACAACACAATTTTTTTTTGCATGGTTCATACTTTATGATGAAAAATACTAAAGTAGGAAAGTAATTATCACGGAAAAAATCTTGTAATGATTTCATTTAGAAACAATATTATTTTTAATGAAGTGTAATGTAAGAAACGTTAAGGCTTGAACATTTAAATACAACCGGACAACAAAAAATATTCTTTGCACTGAAATGCATTGTAACGTACAGAACTATGCCCCAATGACGTTTTATTAAAGCAAAACGTTTGTCACCTTTTAGTTTTCGAACCAAGTGAAAGTGTAACGTAAGATCTCTGAAAATATTTACCTTGCATAAAAGTGGAACGTTAAAAATTGTGGTTATATTACAAAAGCTTTAACGCAACGCACGCTGGGAAAGTTTTTTAAAGCTGGAAATGCAAAAGCATGACGCGGCTTACTGTTTTTTCACTTACATTTACTAAAGCTTAACGTTGTATAAGGTATTCAAGTGCAGAAAATTCATTACATAACATTACTCGATGCCATAAAATTTCATAATGGGCAACGTACCGTTTCAAACGTTTATACTTTTGATGAACACTATCGTAACGAAAGCTAAAATCTAGAAGATTCAAAACGTTGACATCTCTAGCCTTCATAGCCTAACGTTTTATGATCAATATTTTCATAAACAGTTATGCATTTTTCAGTTATACAACGTTACACTTTTATAAGTAGAACTTTGAAATAGAAATCCTTTCATTACGATATTCAATCAAATTACAATTAATTTTTCAAACGTTAGACTTTCAAGCTTCCAATGATAAACAAAACATTTCTTCACGTTATGATCAACAAAGTTGTAGATATTAGAAAAATAGCGTTACATTACCACAAAACCCTAACGTTGGGGGTATGTTTCTCTAACGATAACGTTTAACGTTAACGTTAGGTATGAGCTCCTTTAACGTTAACGTTTAACATTCACGCTATATAGAATATATCCAAACGTTACACATTATTGTAACGTAACGTACAAAAATGTACAATTTCCGTTACGTCACACAGAGAACTAGTAGACACCCTGTATATTAAAGAAAATAAATGTTAATTGTATCTGACACATAGACAGATAACTTTTTCTTTTTTTATGTAAATACACTTTTCACCAGCAAACACAATTCAAGTGGGTGGGAGCGCTGGAACAGTAAAATCTGTTAAGCCCCCCCCCCCCTGGAAAGAAAAATGTAAGGCCCCCCTGAACAAATTCCTGTCTAAGCCAAGGTTCCAGGGGAATTTGGGGGGTCCCAATGGCAGATGACCCAAAATGTTACTTAAACTTTAAAATTAAAAACTGATTTTTACTGATTTTTTAAGCGGAGGATTTCTTAAAATTAAATTAAAATTAAAATATATAGAAACAAAAGAAACAAGTTGATATTTGTTGGGTAGGGGGGGCTGTAGTACATTTCTTAATATAAGAATAATTTATTCTTACCTAGGATGTTTATCTGGCGTGTCGTAAATGAGATAAAACCAGCCAGCTACCCAGGCCAAGCTTAGTGCGCCGGTCAGATAGAAGATTGACGGCCAGCCCCACTGGTCAATAACAATTCCAGCTATATTCAAACTTTTGTTGAGAACATCGAGAATTTTTTTCCTGCAGAAAATCTATGGAATGAAATTCAATCATTACAAATTAAAGTATGTACAAAATAATAATTTTCACAGACGGCGAACCAACGAGGTTAAAGTGTATAGAATGATGATGTACTCAAATCCTTTACTAATTGTATAGGTCATCAACTATACCAAGAGAGTACTGCATATTTGTTTATTAAAAGGAGATTCTGCCCTAACCTATAGTACAGGGTGTCCCACATCAAATTAGACCGCGTCAATGGGTCTAAATTACGATTAATAATAATATTAATAATATTAATTAATTAATTAATAATATTAATAAACAGTTGTAAGTGTACAGTACAGCTAACTGAGCACACAGGTAGAGATCTATCATCCCCCCTGAGGTAAACACAATAGAATAATTTCCATTCGCAATTTATTCGCAATAAAATTGCAATACTGTATTGTTGTTGCGTGCAACAAGAAATCCTATTGGAATACCAAACAATTATTTTCCCGTGTCTCTGTTATTATAGATATCAAAATATAAAAGCAACTTTATAAAATTATAATTGTGGCTCTATCTATGTGCATTGTCTGTTCGTAAATAAACAATACAAAAATTTGGATTTATTAATATCATCAGAAATTTTTTTCAATTCTGAACATCTATAAACCTTCCCTGGGGTCATTTGAGTTGCCACAACAAAGTTTGTCCCGATCGGTTCAGCCGTTTTGACGTTTATTGGATACAAACAAACAAAACAAAGTATATTTAAAAGTATGAATTCCTAGATAAAATATTATACATGTTCCAGCACTGGCTCCAGACACAGCTATACCATTTAGTCTGAAAAAATTAGATTAAACCCTTGTAATTTTTTTAACAATTTGTATACAGTGGATATCAATAAAACGAGGGGACGATTGTATTGTCGAATTCCACACAGGAATCTTTCCGGGGGTGGAAGAGGGGTGGGGACTTAAACTTACTTTTGAATTTCCAGAGAGAGAGGACTGAAACCCTCTCTCTCAGAAACCAAGAAATCCTCTTTTTAGTGATGGATGAGGGGGCGGAGGTTTTGTAGCCTTCCCACCTTAATCCCCCGTATACGCTCTGTAAGTTTGAATGGTTTTCCATGGTTTTCTCTAAAAAACTCACTTTGTGACCTCCAAGGGTGGTGCCCAGGATCCCCAAGCTCCAGTTAAACATGGGAATGAAACAGCATGAAAAACTCCAAGTATAACTCTAGCTACAACTCCCAGATACAAATTCACCCTAAATAGTAACATTATTCTCTAGCCAGATACAGTTAAACACGTAAACACGGAAGCTAACTGGACAATTTTACCAGTAGATTTAGAATAAACAGGTCAAGTCAATATCTTTATATTCCACAATTTTGTCATTTTCACTGTGAGACATTAAACAAGTGCCGCGTTGGCATTAGACATTTGAGAAAATGCCACTTTGGACATTTTGTGTTTTGAGAAAAAGAAAGGTAAAAATGGATGCTAAACTTTGATATACCTTGTCAAAGTAGGAAAAAGAAAAGTAAGAATGAAAGCTAAACCTTGAAATACCTTGTTAAAGTATAAAAAAGAAAAGTAAGAATGGAGTTAAACCTTGATATAGCTTGTTAAAGTAGGAAAAAGAAAAGTAAGAATGGAACCAAAACCTTAATATACCTTGTTAAAGTAGAAAAAAGAAAATTNTGTAAGAATGGAAGCTAAAAGCATGGAATATCCAAAAGATCTTCTAAATCCATATTTAGAAGAAATCCATGCTGCTGGAATCTAAAAGATAAAATTTTATTTCTTGTGAAAATTCCGCTAATAAATTAAAAATTATATTAGCAATATTTTTACAGTTATGAACAGACAGATCAGTAATAAAAGAACAGAGTTGTGTACGGTGTTGTTTATTGGTTTGGTACGTTTTTTAAATATATTTAAATTTGACAAAGTGAAAGAAAATCAATTGTTTTCAAAATTATTTATTATAAAAATTTGTTTTTTGCCCTCAGAGTAAATATTTGCATGAAAAACAATTCAAAAAGGAACGTGATAAAAAAAATTATTTTGGTCGTTATTTTTTCCCATAATTAAATAATTGCATAGTTTAATAAAAGATAACTTTAACTGAATACAGTTTTAAAGTGTGGAAAGTTCTTCCAAATTTTTTAAGCAGCAAGCCAAAACGATTTAAAACACTAGTTGGGGGCAATATTCAATAGGTCAACAGTAGTATAATTGGTAAAAAAAAACAATTATAATAAAATCAATAAATTAGATTATTCACTCCACAAGCCGATAAAGCCAATAAAGAAAAGCATTTGTAAAATTGTGTTGTTGATATCATGATATTAAGTTTAATGTTAAAACTATCTAAAAATATAAATTTAAAAATATTTGCCAGGAAAAACAGATTTTACACAATTTTCTTTGATTTTCATTGATGATTATTTTCAGCTTTATATTTAGAATCAATATTAACCCCCCTGTTTGGGTTCGCTGGGCCGGGGGGGAGGGGGGTCAATTTGACCCTCAACCTCTAAATCCCGTGCTTTTATGCTCTACTTATAGAATCTGCAAAAAAGATTTGCAAGTTTGCAGAAATTGAAATTTCTTTCTCGCAAAATCCAGTTATGAAGTAAAAATGTTTGCCAAAAAAAAATTTCCAAAAATGATAAAATATACATTTTTGAAAAGAAAAACTAAAAATCTGCAAATTTCAACTTACGGGTTGTATGCAAATAATTTGCAAAAATTTCTTTACAAAACTTGAGCAATCCGTTTTCTTATGTCATATGCTTTCCAAAAAGCTAAAAATTTTCTGACAACTTAAAGCGGGTCAAAACTAAGATTTAGTCATTCAGGCAGTAAGCCTGAAGACTCAGACAATTAGTAAAAAAGCCAGGTTATAGTCCTAAAGGGGTGGGCTATAGGTATTTAGAAAAAGTCATGGAAAATTTCAACAGCCTTGCCCTCAGACCAATACTTTTTGAGTTATGTAAAATTAACTAAAGGGGGGGGGTCAAATTGCCCCCCCCCCCTTCAGCAGGAATAAGGTTAAGACTTGACCCAGCTTGTGTTATAATATTAGACAGTCAGATGCACAAACAATATTAATGAAATCCACGAAACTTCAACTACAAAATAACGGTTCTCGAAATCCAAAATAGGCGATCATTCCCTTTAAGAGAAAAAAACACCTGCATAAAAGTGTAACCGTAGTAGTAAGAGCCAAGTATAAGAGCTCTTTCATTCTGATCCCAATCAAACTCTCCTTCTTTCTCCTCAACCTCCATGCTACCATTTCCACCAAACTCCTAAAATTTTTTTCTAAAATCCTAGTATTTTTCTTTTTAAATATGATAGATTATACATTTTTTCAAAAACAATTTTTCTTGTTTCTATCGTAAAAGTGTAAAAAAAAGATTAAACACAGGGAGGAAACTTCTTTGCAATACTTTTTTGCTACAAGGTGTCCCATGAAACATGACAGTTGGTGAATAGTTGCGTAAGACACCCTGTATGCAAAAATTTAATTAAAACATCTGCTTATACATTTAAAAGCTGTTCTCAAAGGAAGGACAATTTGAACTTGAACTTTAAAACTTTCAATGAAAGTATTTAAAAAGAAGCAACATTGTATGATATGAGGTCGCTGTAATTTCATTTGAAGCATCGAACTGTATTTAGGCGGCTACAGCAAAATGTACAGTGTACAGTGTGCATTAAGACGAAAAACAAAATTCGCCTTTGATGTCAGATGTTGTGATAACTCTAATAATAAATACCTGGCATTCTGAAGTAATGTTGCTAGAGGACGGTTTACTTCCCAACATCTCCACCACCGCCATGGACAAGTTGATCCGACAGAAATACACGTTCATGATTCCAAAGAATCCTAACAGATTTTAATTCGATTTATTTTGTTATTGTTATTTCAACTATAATTATGTTCAAATATATTATCAAAGGATAATAAGTGGAATTGGTGTCAAATGAGACACAGTTCGAACCCTTTAAATAGTGTATAGGACAATACAAAACAGTCAATGAATGTTTATTTATTTAAATTTAGAAAATAAAATAAAAAAGAAATACAAATGCAATCATTTCACTTTAAACTTGGTCACAATGAAAGAATGTTTTGTCTTTTAAAAAACATTTATTCTCTTACCAGACTTTGTTAATATTGTTTACATTAAAACAAGTCCTGTCTAGACAAGATGTAAAAACTCCTTAGTACTACTCTTATTGGTTTAGATCGTGTTCAGTTTCTGATTAAATTAAATAGAATTCAATTTAAAACTCAACGGTAAATGTTGGTAAGAATCCCTCTGTGAAAGAATTAGGAACGGAATTGAAGGGAAAAGTTTGGATAAGTTAGAACATTATAGAATTATATATTTGATAGAACCACCTATTATGGAATTATATATTTGATAGAACCACCTATTATGGAATTATATATTTGATAGAACCAGCCATTATGGAATTATATATTTGATAGAACCAGCCAATATGGAATTAAATTAGAATTTCATTTCATTTAGTAAAGTGTTCATTGACGTACTTTTAAGTGATCCTCCATTTTAAAAATGGCAACACAATTCACAATTCACAATTCACAATAATAAAAAGTTGAAAAGTGTTTAATTCTGACAACTTACTCCATTGTTTTTGAAGTAGCGATGCTGGAAAAAATTTCCAAGATGAATATCTGACGCCTTCTTTATCAGACATAGCTTTTAAGGCACGCGGTACACTCCAGTTTATTTCATGTCCTGGCCCGAATTTCAGCTAGCCAGAGCAAGCAGTACTGTACATATACAGACTATGAGGGCGAAACGGGACGCTACGCCAAATGAATGCTCCCCTTCTAGTTAAATTTATGTGAAGGGTATTGTTGTAAATAAAACATGAGATTTTTTTTTAAATGGAGAGTTCATTGAAATTACAGATACAGGTCTCTTTAAACCTGAAAAAATACTACTAACAAGAAACCAAGAGAACAGAAATTAAGAAAAAATACAAAAAATGTTCTTCTATTTTGATTTATTAACTAGAAATTTACCACATCTTGATATGTTTATGTCGTATCTTCGTTTGTATGTTTAAGTGCCAATTGATATTTTGACATACATATTTATGGTATTCTAGTTAAAACACCAAATGTCATAAATTAATAGTAAATTACAAGCATTACACATGTTTATTTAGAATTCTTAATATTTTTATTTTTTATTTCCGTGGACTCGGTCTGACGGGTTTTAAAGAATCTCGGGACTTTGATTTAAAAAGATTTACTTGGGTTCACCCAGAGCAAGGAACTATATACAGGAACGCCCAACTCATATATACGCATATTATGTACTGTACACTGTGGAAAGAATGTAAACAAACCCAGTGCCCCCAAAGAAGTTGAAGGGAAAGAACTAAAGCTCTGATGTGATATTACAGTCCAACAAAAAACAAGTTGATTTATCAAGTTAGAGGAGTTAGAGCGAATACTTACAATTTTGGCTTTCTGGTCAATATGGAAAATACAATAGCAATATATTCTTATTCCACCCCAGGGGCCCTTTTCCCTCAAAAATAATGCGTTGCCCCTGAATTTTTTGTTTTGATCTCCTCCCACTACATGGACACAGGTTTGACGTATCAGATATGGCGGTTCCTGGTTTATATATTTCTTGACCCAGAGATAAGAGAGTCAGGTTCACCAGAAATTAACCTTTAGGTGCGTACTGCAGTTATCTGTGTACTCTCACAGTTGAGTGTTTTTTGCACAGACCACAGACTAACACAGAGTTCAGACGGATCATACGCTCTCAGGATAGCCTCGCAGGCCTATTGTTGTCCTGGCACGCCATGGTACTTTTCTACAAAAGGTTTTTCGTTTTGTTTGGATTTTTTCAAATAGATTACCAAGTACACAGTACCACAATTTTCTAACCGTACACCGTACAGAGCTCGAAACTTAAGACAGAGTATCGTCACGGAACCCAGTATCGGAAACTGGGTTTCACGAATGGGGAAAGGCAATTTTATAGACATCAACATTTTTAGTGTGAAATATTATTTTCCTGGTTCGTTTTATATTTCATTTTTATTTTATCATTTCTTAACGACACAAATGTATATACTCCAAAAATTTTGTAAAAACGTTACACTTTTTAATTTCCGGCTCTGACGACTGCTATGTACATATTGTACAGAGTTAAATTGCACAGTGTACGCTGTACATATCAGAATGTACACTGTAATATTAATTATTATTATTTTAGATTAATAACAACACAGATAAATCACTGGATGTTGTCTTTTCAAGATTTAGGGGGTTTTCGTTCACAACCACCCTGAGGCATGAAGCCCAAAGGAGTTCCGCGCATCGATCGTTGACTTACATAGACAGAGGGAGAGCATGTGCTGTCTGCGCGAAACTCCTTTGGGCTTCTGCCTCGGGGTTATTTTGAAAACACCTAAATCTTGAAAAGACTGCATCTTGTGTTCTTTATGTGTTGTTATTAATCTATGATTATTATAGTTAAAATGTTAAGTTGAATCATTAGAATCGCAGTGCTTGTAAATACTTGAACTAAATAAATTCTTTAAAAGTTTAAATCAATTAACACTATATACATATATTATTTATAAACATATTTGATAAATCTTATCTTTTTCATATTTTATCTTCTACTTCACTTACGCTCTTTAAATAAAACCTCTAGAGTGTAAACAAAATCAATACAGGGGCGTCAAAAAAATGAACAAAAATTAATCTGGATTATAATAACTTGATAAAGTTAGATTATTTTTTCTTTCTGAAAACCATTTTTGTTTAAAACTGAGAAAACTGATTTAATGAGACATTTTTAAAAATTACATGAAAGAATATGATTTGTCAATTAATTCTAGATAGGTAAATCTTGTGTTTTTAAATATTTAATTTTTATCAGGACATGCACTCTGTTAATCTTAAATATTGACATTTTAATTCTTGCGTAAAATCAAATGTCAGAGAAAGGAAAGAATTAGTTTGAATATTGTGAACTAACATAAAAACATTTTCTTTGTTGACATTTAAAAATATCGTTGGTATTAAAGGGACTGAAGGACCCTCTAATCGCTATATATAGAGTGGCATGTGTTTGATTAGGAAGATGCTTTTTTTCTGTTAAAGGGTTAAATTGTTTTAATTTCCTATGTGAATTACTGTTAAAGAGTCTGTTTAGGTAAGGGGGTTGGTTGACAAGATATGGGAGGGGAGGGGGGGGGGGGGGTGTGGGAGTTTATAAAATATGTTTAAAATATGCTGAAAGTTTAATATAAAAGACTTTTTGGCCTCAAATTATGTTATTTAAAGGGACTGGAAGTGTATATTTAAAGGGACAGGAAGTGTATATTTAAAGGGACAGGAAGTGTATATTTAAAGGGACTGGAAGTGTATATTTAAAGGAACTGGAAGTGTATATTTAAAGGGACTGGAAGTGTATATTTAAAGGGACTGGAAGTGTATATTTAAAGGGACTGGAAGTGACCCTCAATGCAGAGATGTCAATGCCCGATCCACAACAGTACCCTTGCAACCTTTATCCGATAAATATTGTAGGAGATATTGTCGTTTTCTCGATTGTAGTATTGAAATCTGATCATTTCAATATGTTTTTCTGCAGTGGAAATGCTCAATTCACTTTGGTAGAGAAACCACAATTGGAAAAATATCAATTTTAAAAATTATAAACATTTATATCTAATTCATACTTAATCTTTAAAAGTTTTTAAGGGTACCGTTGTAAATCGGGCATTGACATCTTTGCATGGTGGGTCACTTGAAACTGCGGTTACAGTCTCCTTACTCATTAATACTTTACATAATCTAATTGCAAATTGAAAGAAGTTTTAAACATGAGGAACATCTTAAACCCAAATTTTCTTAAATTAAAGTTTTAAACGGAAAATGCAGTAACAATTGTAAGCTTACTGAGAAATAAATTAATGAACGGTAAGATGAGGATCAACTAGAACCGTGAGGTTCAACTAGGACCGAAGAATTGAACTAATTCTTTTGACTAAGTTTTGATTCTACACACAAGTATGAGAAAAGCAACATATTGACAATGCAAAACATTTTTGTTCTTGTAAATAGCTCTTCAAAGAAAGGAGTTATGGTTGAAAACAAATGAGATTTTAATCTTATTTCTAATTTACTTTGTTTGACGTGACTTCTAGATCAAATAAATTTTTGAAAGAAACTACCGTGAATGAGGTTAAATTACTAATTAATAATAAATCGCCACTTTCAATTCTATCCAATGTTTCTGTTTATTACAGTGGGACTCATATAACTGTATAAAAAGAAGATTCAAGTTTATTGGATTTTTAAAAATCCAATAAACATGAAACCCTGCATTTGTGCAGAACCATTTCACAAAACCATTTCACAGAACCATTTGTGCAGAACCATTTGTGCAGAACCATTTTACAGATCCATTTCACAGAACCATTTGTGCAGAACCATTTCACAGAACCATTTGTGCAGAACCATTTCACATAACCATTTCACATAACCATTTCACAGAACCATTTCACAGAACCATTTCACAGAACCATTTGTGCAGAACCATTTCACAGAACAAATTAATTTGCAATTGCTACATGGTAAAACCAAATAGATTCTATACTACTCTATTTGGGTGAAACTGCTTCCTTTAAAACAACATCAAATACACAATGTCATATTCCTATTCCACAGCTTTATAGGAATTCTGAAAATTGATAATTCTTTAGTTTTTTTTGTAGAAATATATATATATATATGTTAGCTAGCCTATAGCTGGCCACACGGCTGAACCGAATTGGCTGAATTTTTTGAGGAAACGCATGGGTACCCAATGAATAAAATAGGCTTAAAATATTAGTTTTCTTTTTAAAAATTCAATTTAAAAAAATCCACGGGCAACGCCGGGCACTTCAGCTAGTATTTTATAAAAGAATAACACTTAAATATTTGTTTCCTGATATCAATATAACTAATATACTTCTTAATTGACACCAAATAAGTTCTACGTCTCATGTTTCTACAATATTATAATTCACTCACCAGCCCAAGCTAGAATATATCTGCACAGTATTTTCATGATTATTCTTTTAATGAAACTATTTTGAAAGATATTCAAGGTTTTTGGGGCGGCACTTTCACATCTGCACGGGACGCTAGTTAGACCCCGACTGAGAGAAAACATCGGAAACACCTCGGGCGATTTTACTCTATATGTATATATATATCTACATTTACACAAGAATGTAATGCAAGGAAAGTTAATTGCAGTTGCGTATACTCTGCGTACATAATGAAACCAGTACTCTCTGGGCGGAATTTGAAAACAAGAATAGATGCATCAGTGTTCGTTTAGTATCCGAGGAGGTTAAAAGCATTGAATTTTAATAATTTTGATAATTCACATAGTGTCCTATGATCAGAATATTTAATTGATTTTTTTTATGTGAAAGATGGATCCCATGTCAGGCTTCGACATCCGTCTTGTGTTTACATTAACGCCTAGTGACAGTACACTGAAGTACAAAAGATGCGTATACCTCTGAAATAACTTTCCTTGCATTAAATCCTTGCATTTACAGAGCTGATCTTTCAAAACCAAGTCTAAACTATGATACCAAATTCAACATGTGGATTCCCCTCCCCTGTTTGTATTTATGAAGTTTTGACGTTTCAAAAATGATTTTTTTTTAATTATTTGAATCCTACCTTTCCTGTGGCTAAGTAATGTCCCTTAAAAACGCTCAAGTTGGTTCAACCTCAGATGTACACAACGGACCACCCTATTGCAAAATTAATAGGGTGGTCGATTGTGTACATCACGATATGTTTACGTATCTAACACTGTACATTTAACCACCCCCAAGAAAGGCGATTACTCTGTATACAAGTGTATATAATTGAATATTAATGTAGACAGTTAGAAAGACACTAAATACGGATTATAAAAACACAATTGTATACTGCAGTACATTCCAGGTCACCTGTTTGTTTGTGTTAATAAATAACGTTCTGGGCACGTTTCGCCTCTTTGATCATCTAATAGATTTCTAATTGTGTTAAAATCCAAAAAAGAATAAAAATTGTCAAATGTTTGCAGTTAACATTGTCAAATTCTCTTTATATAAAGAAAAATTCAAAAATTGATCAATTCCATAAAACCCCCCTGCATCTGATGGGATTATGAGATTAGCTTTAACTCTTCCTTTTCTTTCTCTATGGTTCAACCGTTTTGAAGTTAATTTACCAACAAATAGACCAAATACATATAGATATATACAACACTTTTAGAACCCTTTGCGTCCATCTCTGTACTTTTTCACATTTTTCCGTCGTTAAGTAATTGAGTCTCTTCCACAAACGCTGATATTCTAAGCTCTATATCTTTTTAATCCTATGGCTCTTTACGATCAAATAATTTAAGTTTGAGATATCAAAGGTTTATACCATCAGGTTGCAAAGAAATAGGCCAAAAGGGTTAAAAATTTGAGTTTGTGGCAAAGACTCAATTCCTTTTTGAAGAACGAATTGAAATGCTTAAATATTCTGTTTGTATTAGTTGAACCATGCAAAGTAAAAACGAGTTTAGCTTCCTGTAAAAATTATAAAAAAGATGTTTTGTTAAAGTTGGAGCCNTTCATGTTTTCTAGGATGTGAGTAGTACATGTGTTCATGTTTTCTAGGATGTGAGTAGTACATGTGTTCATGTTTTCTAGGATGTGAGTAGTACATGTGTTCATGTTTTCTAGGATGTGAGTAGTACATGTGTTCATGTTTTCTAGGATGTGAGTAGTACATGTGTTCATGTTTTCTAGGATGTGAGTAGTACATGTGTTCATGTTTTCTAGGATGTGAGTAGTACATGTGTTCATGTTTTCTAGGATGTGAGTAGTACATGTGTTCATGTTTTCTAGGATGTGAGTAGTACATGTGTTCATGTTTTCTAGGATGTGAGTAGTACATGTGTTCATGTTTTCTAGGATGTGAGTAGTACATGTGTTCATGTTTTCTAGGATGTGAGTAGTACATGTGTTCATGTTTTCTAGGATGTGAGTAGTACATGTGTTCATGTTTTCTAGGATGTGAGTAGTACATGTGTTCATGTTTTCTAGGATGTGAGTAGTACATGTGTTCATGTTTTCTAGGATGTGAGTAGTACATGTGTTCATGTTTTCTAGGATGTGAGTAGTACATGTGTTCATGTTTTCTAGGATGTGAGTAGTACATGTGTTCATGTTTTCTAGGATGTGAGTAGTACATGTGTTCATGTTTTCTAGGATGTGAGTAGTACATGTGTTCATGTTTTCTAGGATGTGAGTAGTACATGTGTTCATGTTTTCTAGGATGTGAGTAGTACATGTGTTCATGTTTTCTAGGATGTGAGTAGTACATGTGTTCATGTTTTCTAGGATGTGAGTAGTACATGTGTTCATGTTTTCTAGGATGTGAGTAGTACATGTGTTCATGTTTTCTAGGATGTGAGTAGTACATGTGTTCATGTTTTCTAGGATGTGAGTAGTACATGTGTTCATGTTTTCTAGGATGTGAGTAGTACATGTGTTCATGTTTTGGAAAAAATATGACTATTATCAATATGTGCAGACAAAATTTGACTTCAGACATACTTTAAACTACACTGTTAGCTTGAGTAATTTTACATTATATACAAAATCTTTGATTTGCATCAAAAATCTAAAGAAGCTTTTGAAAACTTAAAAAATCTTCTATGCCTTTGAAATCTTTTAAGGGAGTGTTCGCGAAAAATGAAAGGTGGTATAATTTTATGGCGCAAAATTATCGAAGGTGATCGCTACTAATCTTACTTCTATCTGTTGCGTCTGAAAGAAGAAAATTATTAAAAGCAACTCATTCCGAAGAACGTTAGCGTCCATGCAAATTCAGAAAGTTGCACCATTCGGATTGTAACAAATTCAATTTAATTCCTAACAATTCATTCAGATATTACAACCTTTAATCATCAATATTTTTTCGACGCATTTGTATAAAATTTATATTTTATAATTTTGTATTTGTTTTACTTAAAGCGCCAATTAGTTGGCCGCCAGGTGTCTCTGCTCTCGATGGTCTAAATGATTCCACATGACAGAGACACCTAGTGGAAAAAATCGTCGTTTTAAGTGCATTGTATATAAAACAAATAATAAAATATTATGAAATATAAACTATACGAAAGCGTCGAAACATTATGATCAGTATCATCAGTATCATGAGCATGTGACTCCGTCTGTATCATGTGACCAGTATACTGATCTGCCATTGGTGGGACTTTTGGTCATGTGATACAGACGTATAAATAAATTATTAATTATATCTTTTATAAATGAAAAATTATTAAATGTAAATAATAAATGAAGCAAGTCTAAGTTTCTTACGCTCCTCTGGGATATCGTCGTTTTCAGATTTTGTATAATTTCTCGAGACAGGAACATCAGATAGAACTCTCATGGGTCTCGATCAACTCCTAAACCCTATACCCCCTTTCATTTTTCCTGTACAGTCCCTTTAAAATGAAAAAAAAAAATTCTTAAGTCTTGAAGATGCAAAGAACAAATTAAATTATCATTTAAACAGAAGCTATCGTTTAAACGAAAGAATTTTTCTATTTCTTTAAAAACTAAAATCTGTGTTTAAATCAATTAAAAAAAACCCCGGTTATATTCTTTAAGAACAAACCCATGATAGTTTTGTTCTAAAACCAAACTATTTTCAAACACGAAGTTTTAAGTAATATTTAAAAATCTCGAGGGCGATCTGGCAAACAAGGTGGAGGAGGGGGGGAAGGGTGCGCCCCTTCCCCCCCCCCCACCCTCTCTCTTGGATTTTTGTAAAGAGTGTTTATTATTCCACCCTGTTGCATGATTTTCATCAATAAATTGATCAATTCATTATTTATTCATATTCTTTTATGTATACAAGCTGAATAGAACCTTTTAACAGTTTAAATATAGAATACAACATTTAATATTTAAAGGTTATTTACACAGTAAAAACTGTATCGAATATCGATCTAAATTAGAATTTAAAAGGAAATTTCTAATTTTTTGAAAACTTTCCGTCACTTTTTCCATAAATTCTTAACTCGCTAAAGAATCCGTGTTTTATGACAATTAATTATAATTTTTTTTCAAGAATATTCTGACTAAAAAAATTTTTGTTTGTTTTTATTTTGTCTTCGTTAACGATAGTTAACAAAGGGTCGTCGTTAACGAACATAAAAAACTATCTTCTTTTGTTAACAAAAAAGCGTCGAACTTTTTCAACGATCTTTTTTAAACGATAGTTTTAAAAACGACCGTATCGTTTTAAACCAGAACGATCGTTTTTCAAAAAAGTGAAAACACTCTAGTATCCGATATCGTTAGCACACAATTTTTCAACGAGAAAACCTCATATTTTTCCAAAGGTTTAAAGAGTACCGTTGTGAAACCGTTGTGGAAAGGTAACGTTGGAAAAACTATTCTTTTGATTAATGATAATTTGAAACTAAATTCATTAAATTCGGCCTCAGAGGCCGAATCTAATGAATTTGAGCCGCGTCTCAAATCCGCCAAAAACCGCTTTCAATTGACTGCCGGCTTAAATCTTGAAACATTGAATACGATTTCAAGTGGAACCAACCATATTTGAGTTTCCGCTTAAATTTAAGCAGCGGCTCAAATTCTTTAAATTCGGCCTCAGATCCTCTAAGCGTAATAGACTAAGCTAACCAGAGGCCGACTTTGAAGAATTAAAGCCGCTTCTTAAATTTGAGACGCGACTAGAATATGGTTGGTTTCACTTAAAAATGTATTAAATGTTTCAAAATTTAAGCCAGGGCTCAATTGTAACTGGTTTTTGACGGATTAAAGACCCGGCTCAAATTCATTAAATTCAGACACAGTAATTATAGAAAGATTGAAAGCAACTAAAAGACTAAAAAAGTGCGCATGGGCGCAACACAGGGTACTTCTGCAATATTACCGGAAACAAACTGATAAAAAATTCGTGCCTGAGATCAAATCATTGTAGTCTTTATTTACATTTTTAAGATTTCAGTTAAGATAAGTTCTGCATGCTATATATCAAATAGTAGAAGTTTGAAATGTCAAAGATTTACTTCTTATATTGGAAAGATCCTTGATATAGATTTACGCCGTCATGTTGTAAAGATTTAGCATTATAAAAACTTTAGTTTCGAGAATAATTTAATGCTTGCGCGATAATATGTGTCTAGCAAAATGCTTTAAATTATTCCAAATGTTTTATTTAGATTTATATTGTTTACAAAGAATTCTATCTGATGGGCAATGTTTTATTATATTATAGGCTACATATTGTTTTTATAATGAACCTAGACACTTGCATATATTTATACAATAAATATATTCATATATCTAAATATTTATATATTTATATTTATTTATATATTTATATATTTACACAAGAAATATATTCATATATTTATATACTTTTGTATTTATATATTTATATATTGATAATAGTATGAGAATAGTTTATTAATATTAAGAATACAAGCATAAACATAAATTAACAGAATTGATCAGTAGATAGTAGATACATAGAGTGATAGAGAATGGCGATGTTCGTTTTATTTTATTTTAAGGTTCTAATGGTACTCCAATGGTATTCCAATGGTACGGTACTCCACTAGTATTTGTCTATTTCTCCTAGACCAATGATACTACAATGTGACAATAATTTGGGTCGTTTTTATTTATTTTAAGGTTTTTGAACTTTGAAAGGTTAATGTTTTACAAATATACAAAAATAAGAATTGTTTTTACTAAAATTTGATTTTCTTAATCTAGATACGACAAGTTTTAACCCTGAGAGAATAAAGATAAAAAATTGTTTTTGGACAGTTTCTTCCCTCGATATTTTTCTTTGAATAAAAAGTCGAAAAACCTCAAAAAATTAGTACAAGGAAATTTAAATACATTTTTAATTGATTTTTAAATGAATTTATGTTCTAGCAGGACAAACAGATGTCTTAAATCTTACATTACTCTCAGTCAGCTATGAAAGTGCATAAAAATTAAAATTAAAATTAGTTTTTTATCAAGCAAATTATGTTATTTTTAAAGCATATTTTTTTCAATTTCTGTGCCAAAAAAGTTATTTTCAAATTTATTGATATTTTTTCTGGCAAACCAAAAAATAACTCTTCTTAGTTCTACATTCAGTCGTCTCTACGTTTGTTCGCTTGAAAATAGTATAATTATAAACATTATTTGGAATAGCCACATTCAGGGGAGTAGTCAGGAATTTTTCCAGAGGGGGCCTTACATTTTGCACCCGTTGGGGCCTGAAAACCCCCTGAAATACATAGATTGCACTAGTCCAAGGGGGCTTAGCCCACATAGCACCCTCCTGCCTACGCCTCTGGCCACATTCCACTATGACAGAAGGAGGAGGTCAAATTTACGTGATATTACTGGTAGGACTTTGTGACCTCATGACTTTCGCAAGTACATGAAAAGCAAATTCATTTGGTTTCATTTACATAAAAAATCGAAACATTTTCATCTATCTAACAGCTCTTAAATCAGAGGAGATAAGATTTCGATACAACGTAAAATTTAAAGTAAAACATTTCCCTGAAGGGAATTGCCCTCTAAATCCGAAAGATTTCAAGTAGAAACATTTTTGAGAGAAATATTCTAAAATGTATTTGTAATAAATTAATTTTAGGTAGACATAGCGAATATAATTTATCACAGATGATAATAAGTACAGAACTCATTGTCTACACAGTTCATCGAGTGCACTGCATACACGTAACACTATTCAGTATTCTAAAGAAAAACAAATACATCAAAAGTTTAAATTAGAGACACTAGGGGGGGGCATCACTATTTCTAGGGATGGGCAAATCTCGTTTCTAAAAAGAATTTTTTTCTGGTAACGATGTCCAAAAATAATGCGTCAATTCGTTTCAAGCGAATTTCAAAACAAACAAAAAACAAGAAATCGTTAGGGAAGTTTTTCAAATTGTTAGTTTTCAACACGATTACATCGAATTGTAATTGTAATTTATTTAAATAAAAAAAGGTTTCATTTCAAAAATGTAATCGAAGTCGTTTTTAAAAATCTTTTTGAAAATCGATGCAAATAATGAGGCAGAACAAAAATTGTATATCATCAATTAAAAGAGAAAAATTTACGATTAAAATTTAATTTAACAAAATGAAGGTTTCCTTCATTTAAGATGCATTTTGTCGCTCAGGGACTGTATATGTAATTTTAAGTGACTCCGTATTTTCAACGAATGTACCAAATTGGCTGACATTTTTTAGGAAACCCATGGATGCACGGGTAGCAAAACAAACAAAATTTGGCATTTTTTTTTCTTCAAAAATTCTTTTTTCTTTAATTCAATAGTTTTTCATAATTGAAAATTCTTTTCAAGTGTTTCTGAAATGCCACGGGCAACGCCGGGCACTCATGACATAATTGTAAACTGTAAAATTGTCAGTTACTACATAATTCAATAATTTATATTTGAAAATTAGTTTCTTAATAAGCACGTTATTTAAATTCTTTCTACAAAAGCCAGTAATTTTTGTCTTTTATTTCTTTTAGTTTGTTTTGAAAGTGGTGAAAAATGTTAAACTTATGTTGAATTAAATACAATATCTAATATTTTGTTAATATAAGGGATATGATTAAAATTACTATTTCTAATTTTATGCGATTACATTTTTATATATATTTATAAATATATTTTATGTTTACAGTTTACGGAGATAAAAAGAGAATTAACATATTTACAGATCTATTAAAGTTATGCTACACTACTCTATCATATATTTAATATTTATTTTAGCTTAAAGGGACTGTTATCATAATTTAAAGTGTCCTCCTCTGCTAAGAGCTGAGTGCCCGATTAACAATGGTACCCTTTACATACTGTGTAGAGAAAGAGAAAGAATATCATAGTTTTTTTTTAATTCACGTACCGTTGATAATCGAGCCATTCTTTTTAAAAATAGATACCTACTTGAAATCACGCCAACAGTCTCTTTAATAGCACGCAAGGGTATAAAGTTTTCGAAAATTTTAATAAATTATATATTTACAATCAAATTGTTCAGACCTCTCCCTAAATATGCACATTGCTTTAAATCGTGTTAAACTTATGCCTTGGTTTTCTCATGTCAGCATTCACAATAATTGGATCTTTTTTAACTTTATATGATTTTATTTTATGATACTGGTGGTGGTGGTGGTGAGGGGGGGGGAGTCGTAAATGTAACGAGTAGAACATTAACTCTAATTTTCTAATTCCTGTAACTTTGCTACCTTTGATAATTTAAACTTTGACTGTTTGATCTTGCAGAATTTCAACTGAGCAAAGTCTACATTATCAGGTCACAAAATATAAGGATTAAGCAAGTACAGTTTGAGCCGAGTGTTCAGTTTATTTTAATAAAAACTCTTATTATACTCCACTAGTGTACTTCTATTATACTCCACTAGTACTCCTATTGTACTCCACTAGTGTGCTCCTATTATACTCCACTAGTGTACTCCTATTATACTCCACAAGTGCACCCCTATTTAACTACACTAGTGTACTCCTATTGTACTCCACTAGTACTCCTATCATACTCCACTAGTGTACTCCTATTATAGTCCACTAATATTCCTATTATACTCCACTAGTGTACTCCTATTATACTCCACTAGTACTCCTATTATACTCCACAAGTGTACTCCTATTGTACTCCATTAGTACTCCTATTATACTTTACTAGTACTCCTATTATACTCCACTAGTGTACTCCTATTGTACTCCACTAGTACTCCTATTATACTCCACAAGTGCTCCTATTTTAGTCTTATGCTACTCTAATAGCAATCAAATGGTACCCTAATGGTACTACAATGGAACTACAATGATACTATAATGGAACTGCAATGGAACTACAATTGAAATTTAATGATACTCATGTTTCTCCAATTAAACTACTACTGGACATTGTAATGCTACTTTTGAAGTACCATTTTAGTACCACCAATGGTACTTCATTAATACTCCACTGCATACTCTTATATAACTCCAATAGTACTCCAATCGTACTTTATTAGTATTCAAATGGGACTCCATTGGTACTTCAATGGTTCTCCATTGGTACTCCAATGGTACACCAATGGTACTCCAATGGAACAACTCATGGCTTTCCAACGGTACTCTAATGGTACTCCAATGGTACTCCAATAGTACTCCTATGGTACTCCAATGGAACACCTTATGACTCTCCAATGGTACTCCAATGGTACTTGAATGGTATTCCAATGGTACTCCAATGGTACTCCAATGGTACTCCAATGGTAAATGATAAATATCTCCTACTGGACTCCTATTTTCCTCCCAATTATATTCCCTGTAGAATGTGAAGGAAATGTTGGACTATTAAAGTTAAGATGCCAGCAGCAGTGAGAGCATAAATTCCGATCAAAGCCAATATATCTTGTGGACAAACACTGTTCTTAAAGGGACTCTTGACAGTATTTTAAGTGGTTCTAAATTTAAAGAGTCACATGCCCTGATCCCAAATGTACAATTACATTTACAACCTTTATATGAATTACAATGATTTGGTTTTGTTCATATCTTAAAAAAAGATCAATTTTATTAATTTCCTTCGTATTCTGCTGAATCAGTCTGAAACCACAATAGAAAACTATCAATTTTCAGGTGACAAATTGTATTTTTATAATTTTTACACATGAAACGTTTTAAAGATTCTCATTGAAAATAAAGCATGGCACTTCTTTAAATGCATGATTCTAACTTGAAATACAGTTAACAGTCTCTTTAAATCTTCATGGTAAACATAAAATGATGACAAAAGCATGTCAAAAAAAAAACTATTAGTAAAAATAATGTAATAATGGTGAATATAGCAGATGAAGAAAAAGTGCACAAATAAAATTAAGAAATTGAGTCTTTCCAAAAACTCTGATTTTCTTATCCTTTTCAACTTGACATTTCAACTTAGATTATTTGGTGTTAGGTTAGATCCCCAGTGCAACTTCCCCAGTCACAACTTCCCCGAGACATCTTCCCCAACAGCAATTTCCCCAACAACCAATTTCCCCAACAACAATTTCCCCAATTACTAATTTCCCCAACAGCAACTTCCCCAACAACCAATTTCCACAACAACAATTTTCCCAATCACTAATTTCCCCAACAGCAACTTCCCCAACAACTATTTCCCCATGCAGTAAAATATCAAATATTTCCGTTTTTAACATTATTCCAATGAACAAATGCGCAATTTTAAAATAAAAATTCGCAACTTTTTGAATGTGAAAAAATCAGTTGGATTAGAGTCGACAATTTTGGCAGTTTATACACTGTCCTCGAAGAAGAGAAATGTTCTGGTGGATCCCAATAAGTATGAGTACAACCTACAATCAATGTCAAGGGACAAATCTAAATCATTCTGAAACTGTGTGGAGAAAAGGAAACATTCAAAATGTGTAGCAACAGCCGTTGTGAAGGAGTCTGATAACTGTTGGGGAAATTAAGAATTTTACTGCATGGGGAAATTGGTGTTGGGGAAGTTGTTATTGGGGAAATTAGTGACTGGGGAAGTTAGAGTTGGGGAAATTAGCGGTTGGGGGAAGTTGCTGCTGGGGAAATTCGTGACTGGGGAAGTTAGTGTTGGGGAAATTAGCGGCTGGGGAAATTTCTGTTGGGGAAGTTGTGACTGGGGAAATTGTGTTGGGGAAGTTGTGCTGGGGAAATGACCTAACACCGATTATTTTACATAAAGGAAATATCCAAGGTCTACGACGTGGGTTGCAAAGATTGAATTCCTTGTCCTAAATAAGAATCTCTGAGGGGAAAGGTCTGAACTGTGGCTGTTATGATTCTTCGAAAGTAAATATTTCTGCCTGAGTTCGATATTTATTAGAATCGGTTCTTTGTTCATCTAGCAATCCAATACTTTCATTCACTCTCTCACATTCATCATCAATAACATCATTCGTCAATTTTTTCTCCTGCTCCGGTTCCAGCTCCTGATCAATCTGCTCAGCAGATGGAGCAGCTTGTTCAGCAGAAAGAGCAGTTGGTTCTGCAGAAAGAGCAGCTTGTTCAGCAGAAAGAGCGGTTGGTTCTGCAGAAAGAGCTGCTTGCTTTAATTTGTTTTCCTCCCACTCTTTACTGCTACACCTTCAATATGGAAATATTCACTTTGTCGCATCAATTATAAATATTGAACTACTTTAAACAAACTGCTTTAATGCTAATCAAATAAGCGTTAAATTCTGTTTCATTATATATTTTGCATGTCTGTCTGTCTGCTTGTTTCTGTCGATTGGGCCTAAGTTTTGTGTGGGACCTCACATGACCCCAGGGAAAGTTTTTTCATTCTCCTATTATTTAAGATTTTCGAAAAGTTTTTAAAATAAAAAATACAAACTCGCAACATTTTTTTTTTTTTAATCGAAGAGAAAATGTTGAAGGATTGAACAATAATTAAAAGTTTATCGAGAAAATGGGCGCGAAGCGACCTGATAGCATAGTACTGTTAATTGTAGTAACCAGAAATGATGTTTCCAAATAAGTAATATTTATGATAATGTATAATGTATAATGTAATATTTTTGTTGGTAAAGCAAACAACAACATATATATCTTTTACTCGTTATTCTAATAAACTTAAATATTTGTACTCGAATGAACAAGTTTGTGCAATGCACAAGAGTTTAAGAAAAGACGACACACTATGAACATTTAAAAAATAAAAATCGATGAAGATTTTTCAACGTTTATCTTGCAAAAATATTACAGACACATCATGCAAAATATTCTTTATATATCTTAGCGGACGTCACTTGTCTCGTACAACGCTAATTCTTAATAGACGATTACTAATTAGTCACTTAATTAAAATGTTTATTGGGACACCCTGTACTGCTTAGTGTATATATATACCTGGGCGTTTTATCCTGAACAAACTTATTGAGCGCTGTTAAGGAAACGGCGTACTTTGCAACCTTTTTGGAGAGGTCAATAAAAACTTGATTTCTGATGACATTATAATGAAGAAAACAACTTTGAGACAGTAAAGGAATTGAGTCTTGGCCACAAACTTAAATTTTCTACGACATTGGGAGTTTATGGCAAAGAAAACTTCTTCGGGAGGGGGTGCAGGGCCGCCATAAGCCCCGCAAAATTGTCTCCAAGTATCTTATTCGCAGATAAGTATTTAAAATGACCTGTCGCTACCACTAAACGTTAGAATAGATATCATAGAAGTAATAGATAACATTGTTTAAAGAAAATATATTTAATCTTTAAATAGTTTTGCTGTGTTTTCTTGAATATCCAAAAAATATTGCATAACTATTAAAATATTAAATTTTTTAAAACATTACTTCAATAATATGTATTCTAAAGGGGTAGCGCCAGGTACTTTAAAATACTCAGTTGCGAATACGTAGGCTTGGAGCCCAATTTGCTGGGGTTATGGCGGCCCTGCACCCCTTCCCTCGTACTGCGGCTTGGTTGCAGCTTACCTTTCATTTTCAGAAGCTACACAATATATGCAGAATACAATTATGAACAGTGGTTATATCAATACAATAGGAACGACTTGATAAAAATTGAAATCAAAAGTCGTCTTCATTTTATTGATATAATGGCCTACCACTGCAAGTAGTACACAATTTTCTGCTCAGATTGGCAAAATATCTTTTAAATTTGTTTACAACAACAACACGGTAGTTTTTTTCTTTCTATTTTGGATCATGAGAGGTTGCGTGATCTGTACTTTTATTGACCCCTGCCTGCTTGTCGTAGGATACACAGCAGTGCTCGAACCTGTACCCCCAGACTATCTCATTAGGTAAGTAGGAAGTTCGAACCTAAAAATTCAATCTTAAATCATAGATTTTTTATTAGTGTATTTATTTTTAATCCAATTTCTGGTGATGGTTTCCATGGGGGGGGGGGGAACTGCATACTGCCTGAATATATGCTTTTTTCTATGCAAAACTTAATTTCCATTCAGACCAACTTCAGAATATTGAATTTTAATTTGATATTTTATAGCTTTAGTATAGCTCAAAATGAAGTGAAAGCGAAGTTGCACATTTTTCTTTTATCAAAAATAATTTTTTTTTTTGCATATTTAAATTGCACAGCCCAGGATACATTAGAGATAGGGGTAACAAATGACATATTTATAGTTGATATTATCTATGTAATTTTCTGGAGATGGGTTTTCCTGTTCAAACATTTTGGTCGGCGATAGAAATTTTAAAATCAAAATTAGATAATTAGTAAGAATAAATATTCTTTACCTGAATAGTGTTCCCAGTTTCTGGTGTAATACCCTCCATTGTGAGAATAATTTCAAACTGTTTCTGTCCAATATCTCTGGATATGCAACCATTTTCATGTCATATTAGTTTAAAAGTCACTAGTCTAGTCTTTACCGTACTGAACCTTCTAGTGTGCCCAGTATGTGGTTCACAGTACCCGTATTTAGTGTACCCAGTATGTGGTTCACACTACCTGCGTTTAGTGTACCCAGTATGTGGTTCACACTACTTGCGTTTAGTGTACCCAGTATGTGGTTCACAAATCAAATTTCAAAATCAAATTTCCAGGCCACAGTTCAGTATTTTCAACTACGTTTTTGCAAATATCACATAGAAAGAACTCCTTATCTCTGGGCTATAAATCTGACGGGTTTTATGACACTTCCTCTAATTTATTTAGAAGATATTTTGATTTGCGACCCGAAAAAGAAATTTGCAAAAATAATGCAAACTCAAATTTTCGACACAAACTCAAATTTTCTATTTCCGATATCTTTGCAACCAGATGGTGTAAACCTTTGATATTTTAAACTTAGATTATTTGAGCTTACAGAATTCATCGTTTTAAATAGCTAAGGTCTAAAACGTTGTTGCAAAGTTGCTTTCCAGGTCAAATTTCCAGGTCACATCTTAAGGTCAGATCTAAATACTTAATTAATAGGTCACATTTAAGGTCAAAACTAAAGTTCAGCATTTTTTCAACTGAATTTTTGCTAATATCACTAAGAACCCCTCTCTGATCTATAAGATATTTTGATCTACAACCCAAAACACTAATTATTTTGTTCTTCTAAAAATGTTTGGATAAAACTGTTAAAAGTCCTGACAATTTATTTAAATTTAAAGAATGAAGCATCTAAATTGTAAATTGTAGAATCTAGCATTTAGACACAAATTGCTTCATGAGACTTAAAGGGAATTAGAAAGAAAATTTGTCTGCTGAAACAAACGATGTTATTATACATTATGTAAGTAGAAATGCATAATTTTCCAGTTTCTTATTGATAAATGATTTTATTTTATGTCTGCATTTAACCCTAAAAAATCTAAAAACATAAATTCTTGTTTTGTGTTTTTAAAATTCCATGTGCATAGGGCCAGGCACATTATTCCTTTTTTGTTAAATGTTAGATAGATTTTTATAACAGATGGCTTTCAACTTTTCAAATCTTTTTGTGTCTGAACAGAATACTTATTAACATTTAAAAACATTTATTTTCCCAAACTCTCTTACTATAATTCGATTAAAGGTTTTGTTAGGCATAAAAATACTCAAAATTGCCTGTGCGTTATTCTTATATCAAGAATTCTTCTTGTTTTTTAATGATAATATAATTAGGGTTCTTTTTGTTTTAAAACGGATTTTCTATTCATTTGAAAAAAATAAAAATTTAGTCCCTTTTCCTAGACCCTCAGACAATCCCAGCTGCCCATGCAGTTCTAGCAAAAAAAGTCTATTTTTAATATTTTTATAATTTTTATACAAAAATGCTGTTTTTTGGAATTTAAGACCAAAGCCTGTCATGATATAAGTGATATTAGTAATATTTGATCAATAAAGTATGATAGAACATATTTAAAAATAAACAGTTACTTAGGATGAGATCATGAGCCTCTATCGGTAACTTAAATTTAGCAAACTGTTAACAAGCCGATTAAAAAAAGGCCCAATAGTGCCCAGTCTTTTAAGGCATAAGAATTTCTTACATTCCTCAAGAATCTTCTAATATTCCTTTGAGTGGAATTAGTTTTTCAAACTTTTGATATTTGAAAATGAATTTAATAGGATAAAAGAAACAGCTAAAAGGTTCTTTGTAGAGAATATCTTTCAGAGAGATAGAGAGAGTGAGAGAGAGAGCGAGAGAGAGAGAGTGAGAGAGAGAGTGAGAGAGAGAGTGAGAGAGAGAGATTTTAACGTAATATGAAGTCCTTCTTCCTTGATAGAGAGGTTCGTCCAATTCACAAAGGCACTCTAAACAGCTTTATATTTATAGTATATGAATTAGATATTTATGTGTTTTGTTTCAAGCCAAACAAATTTGTTAAATTTGACTATTGTGTATGAGCGAACCTTGGATCCTTGAATATAATCAACACTATCAACGTTCGTTCATCAAACGTAAAACTAACTACGTAAACATGGAGGGGGGGTTGTGGAGGCTAAGCCCCCCTGGATTGTGTATGTAGTTATATTTACTTCCAATACTTATATTGTGCTTCACCATTTTGACAACTGTCTATCTCCCCCATGTAAAAAAATGAATCTCGAGTGGGCAAATAGTGTGATAGTATGCCAATAAAATATTTTATTCAACTTTGGTTGAACTGTTATCCCACATTTTTACCCGCAACTTCATCATCCTCAAGATAGAAACTTTCTTATTTGTCCAAACTTCCCACGTCAAAAGTGTCTTGCAAATGTCGTGGATTTTCTTGTATTTTTTTCCGCACATCTCAAAGTTAAATCAAAATTTCTATTGAGCACTAAAAAATCTAATCCATAAGCTTAGGAGTAAAAAATTGAATTTACACTTGAACAAGAATGAAAAATATTCTAGCAACAAACATTTTTTTCTCCAGTAACAACAGTTAGTTGGATTTTGAATATCTATTTATTCAATCAAAGTGAGCCTGTAATTGATATAACTTTAAGAATTATTGAATAAACTCATTTCAATTTCACTAATGAAATATGTTTTTATATTTTATACTAATCTAAAATTTAAAATGCCCCTTATCTTCTGACTTACAAAAAAGAAACCTAAAATTGTCAGTAAATGGGCAACATGAATTCTTTCAAAATTGAATAAATATCCGGCCCTCCAATCTAAACAAGATAAGGATGAGATTAGCAGAGGTACATCACTATTCACAAACTGTGAGGGTTAGTTTCGGACATTACTCTAGTTTATGTACTAACCCAGCATAATGATCTGTTTAGTATTTATAGAAGGGGTTAAAGAACTTAAAGTTAGTTCTATCTGGTGATGGATCCTTTCCACTTTTTCGAAAAACGATCGTATATTGTTTAAACGCCAAAGAAAAATCGATTTTTTAAAGCTATCGTTTTTTAAAACATCGTTTTTTTAAACTATCGTTTTTTAAAAACTGTATTTTTCAAAAAATACAGTTTTTAACGACTGTTAACAACCATTGACGACGACCCTTTATTAGGAAACGTTAACGACCTTTTAAAGAGAAAATACATTTTAAGTTGGAAAATCCGTGACCAGAAAACATTCTGGTTATTTGTCTCAATAAGAAAAACCATTTAAGACAACTTTCATATTCTTATCTTCCTGAAAAAAGTTGAAATTTATTGTCATGAAACTCAGAATCATTAGCGTAAATACAAAAGAAACGATTATTTCTAAAACTACTATCGTTTTTCGTTTAAAAAACCCGATCATATTTTTAAAAAGTTTTTTGAAAGTTCAAAACGAGTGGTTTGTTTTCAAAAATGCTCACATTTCTTTATGTACAAAATCGGCCATGTTTTTATCCTTTACAATAAACTATACAGCAGCAATAGTATCTTCATTTGTGGTAGTTGTGCTAGTTCTAATTATGCTTTTAAGCGAGTGAAAGATACTCAATTGATTGAGACAAATATTACTCATAATAATGACTGGAAAAGGTTTCCTAGCAGACATCTCCCACAACGGTGAATCTTCGTCTATCTAAACATCATCAATTTTGATTATAATCTTTATATAAATTAATCCACTTGTAAATTGGGCAAAATAAATAATTGCAAGAAACCCAACATTTCTTTCCACAAACTACAAAATTTTTGTAATTTGTAAATATTATAATTGCAATATTTCGATCAATTTTTTAAATTTTTTTTCTTCCAGTGCAGTTGTGGACGTGTTCTCAAGAAAACCAATATTATAGTTGATTGAGAAGGGATGCTGAAGGAGGGAAGGGAGGCAACCCGCACTCATGTATAGCTTTCGACCCGCAAATTATGTTATATAATGGAGGTGCGGTAGCACGCTCATTCAGGGTCTTTTTACTTAAACCTTTTAATATTATGTGCTCTGGCCGGAAGTACAAGGATCGTACTTTTCTTAAAATTCTTGCCCCATGAAATCAAGATGTGAGTTGCTATGTTGATGCTTACCAATTAAAATAAAATTTAAAGATAGCTGCCATGAACTCTTTGAATATTTGAATTATTTGGATTATAATTTGAAAGCAAAAAAAAACTATTCCACACAGCTGAAATAAGCTAAAAGTGGGTTAGGGTAGGTCAAATTGGCCATAGATGATAAGCTGGGTACTGTAAAAAGTCTGGCTGCGCCGTCAAAGTTGAAACCCAGCTGGCATAGGATAGGATCAGACCGGTACATGCCGCGCATCACTAAGGACGATCAAATTGACCCTGTCACAAATCATTTTTGTGACGTCATTTGCGGGTTGGAAGCTCTACAGTTGTGTGGTTTCCCCCCCCCCTCTGTGGAGTGGTGAGTAGAAAGATCTAGTGTATATTTGATTAAGTATAATATTATCTTCCTTTCAATCCAAGTTTTCTCAATAATTTATAAAATTGATGGATTCCTTGTGAGAAACGGTGATGGGCCAAAACATTTGGAAGAAATCTTGAGTTCCATCCAGTTCTGTACCAAACTCCATTCTCTCTAGATGATAGGGGATCTCCTAGAAAAATGGGACATTTTATAGATGGGAGCTTTTAGATAAAAGGACATTTTTTAGTTGGGAGTATCTAGGTAATATGATTTTTAATAGATGTAATCTCTTATATATAGATAGATTGGACATTTGATCTATAGTTAAGGCGAAATAATATTACAATATATATATAGTATATTTTAGAGATAGGAAATTTCAAAGCTGGAACATTTCTTACAAAGGAAATTTTATACATTCAGAGATACACAAGACATTACAAGTCAAGTTATTTCCCATGTTTAACAATGTTCAACATCTTGCACTATTAGTCCTATATCTTAAATAGCGTAGAAAGTTAGTTAGTTTCAATGAAATTTCATATGGCTTTATGAAACAAATAAGACTTTTACACCTAACCCTACGTGTAATTTAAACAATTTGATCTAATAGAATTCATAGTTTGAAATATCAAAATTCTACGACAAATTGAGTTGTAAAGATGTAGGGATTAGAAGATTAGAATTTGTGACAAAACTCAAAAATCTAAAATAAGAATTAATAAAAAGTATAAAATACCTCTCCCTCATCGGTAACTTCTTTTTTAACCATCTGACCAGATATGTGAGACTCTAGAAGATGGGTGGGTCTAAATATTTAAACAGTATTATGCATTTTCAATCCTGTGTATCCTGTATCCTGAATCCTGTATCCTGTATCCTGTATCCTGTATCTTGTATCCTGTATCCTGTACCCTGTATCCTGTATCCTGTATCCTCTATCCTGTATCCTGTATCCTGCATCCTGTATCCTGTATCCTGTATCCTGTATCCTGTATCCTAAGTACAAAAACAGATATCATATTTTAAGCTTTTAAATAAATGGCATAAAATAGTTAGTTGTTGAATTAAAAATTAATATGTTTACAAATATTTCAGTCAGAGAACAAAGTGGTAAAGTGTTCCCCGATAACTGTGGAATAGGAAGACGATATAAAAGCTATTTTGTATGGTGTTAGGTATTTCCTAAAAACTTTTTTTCCGAAGGGTTTGGTTAGGCCTTCCGAGGTGAACACAATTTCCGTGTTTCATTTTCAATCGTCTTCCTATTCCACTGTTTTTTAATCCAATTGTACGAACCTGAGATCCCCTATTCGGCACACCAAGAACAAGGAACCGTTCCTGAGCGTGATCAAGGCATTCTTGCTGAACAAGATCGTCTCTGCTCGCATTGTGGGTTTAGTGAACTTAGCAAATACTATTCCAGCCATACATGCCTAGACAATAAGGGACAAGCTTAAAGGGACTGTAGACTGAACTTCAAATGATCCTTAATTACAAGAAAAGTATTTCCTATTCAAAACTGTTTCCTGCACTTTGATCTTGGATGATTGTGAAATCATCTTTTTTGTATCGAAAAATTAATTATTTTCAATTGTAGTTAGTCTATAAAATTGACTTGCTGAAGGAAATTGTCATTAATATTGTTCTCAAAAATCGGTTTAAAGGGTACGAAAGTGAATCGGACGGGACAATTTGTAAATGCAGGGACGTTTAAAGTTATGTACACAGTCCCTTTAAGTAATAAAGGCACTAAATTTACTGTATAAGACTACAATGACAACCTGAAAAATCTTTCAATAAAATCAACTGAAAGTTGAACGAAAATGCCTTGATATACCTTATTTTTGTTTAGATTAAATGTGTACTGCAGTCTCTGGGAAAAACGTAAACAAAGGAATTGAGTTTTTGCCACAAACTCAAATCTTCTAATCTCAATATCTTTGCAACCTGATGGTGTAAACCTTTGATATTTCAAACTTAGATTAGTTTATCTATAAGTATTTATAGTTTGAAATATCTAATGTCTACGACATTGGGTTACAAAGATATAGAGATTTGAAAATCAAAGTTTGTGGCAAAAACTCGACTCCTTTAGTCTTTCCTAGGCCGAGTTTGCTAATATTCCTCAAAAAAACGTCAGTTCATTTGTTTTTAAAGTAAAATAAAATTTTCTATATCATGTTATCCAAACTACTCAAACAGCTACAGACTTCACAGACTAGGCTAATCTAACGTTTGTTGACTACTATTTCAATAACTTAACCGAGTGACTACTCCTAGAAATATTTATTCTACTGACTACTACAATAAATTTCTACCCTAATGACTACTCCTAGAATTATTCACCTTAATGACTAATCCTAGAACTTAGATATCTACTCCTGGAATAATTTGCTTTAATGACTACTCCTGGGTTACATACCAAGATGAATATTTCTGAGATTACCTGAATGACAACTCCAACGATTGCCTGGATGGACATAACTATAAGAGCACCAGAACATTGTTCAGTCGTAGCCCGGACACCATAACTAGAATAGTAAATAAATAAACAACATTGTTTTTCTTTACTCCTATATACATTGTAAAAAAAACACTGTAACTGAAGGGAATGTAAGCGTAATTTCAAGTGTTTGATTTAAAACCTTAATCTGATCTTAATGTGGAGGCTAACGTCATTTTCCGAATTTCAATTTCAATTCTCCAGTTTTTCCTAAAAGCAAGAAATACGCAAGTCACTTTTGCACAGAAACCACAAAGGAAAATAATTAGTTTTTAAAAACTAAAACATTGAGTTCTATTTTATACTTGATCAGTCTAAACTTTTAGAATTTATATATTGGGCATTGTCGTCTTCGTATGTAGGGTAACTTGAAATTACGCCAATGTGTTATGAACCGAATTCATGAAAGCCTAGTAACGTGGTATTTATTTCTCAACCTCCTTTTACTAATGATTCTTAAACAATATATGATCACAAAACTAATTTCCCAGTGAACTGATTTCATGAACATATCATATCTACTCAAAACTATACTACAATATGCGCCCTAGTATAAAGCTNCCCAATGTTTCCTTCTATATATTAAATCTCAAATGTGGATTGAGAATGATAAACTTTTTAATTTAAGCCTCAGAAATTAATAATGAAAGACTGAAGTCTAACTTTCCTTACTGTTGAGATAAGTCGTCAAAAGTTTTCGTTCCAAAGCAAAATTTGATTTCAAATTGAGACAATCAAAATTTACTGAATAAAATTTGTTGTTAGGATGTTTGAATTTAAAAAAAACATTTGTTGTCTGTTTTTGTTCAAATTTAGTAACATAAAAATATTTTATTTTGCTACTTAAAGGGGCTGTAAAGGAAAAATGAAAGGGGGTATAGGCTGAAATCTAAGAACTTCAAGAGTTGATCGAGACTTATATAAGTTCTATCTGATGTTCTTGTCTTGAGAAATTGATATAAAACTGTGTCAAATATGTACGAAAATTTTTATCTTTGACATTTTGTATAAAAATCATATGTTTAAACAGATCATATTCAGCAAATACGCAACCAATCTGAAAACGACGATATCACAGAGAAGCCTGAAAAACTATTATTATTTGAATTAAATTATTTTTCCTTTTTGATACCCCATTTCATTTTTCCTTTACAGTCCCGTTAAATTCAGATTCTTATAAATAATGAAAAGAGTAAATTTTACTTTTATATTCTCTCTTATATATTATTAGATTTACTCTCCAGCTTTTGTTTCAGCAACTGACACAAGACTGATATAGATAAATAAAAATATAAAGTATTAAAAACAACAAATCCTCACAGTCACGCACCACTGAACCTTAAGTAAAAGTAAATTTAACCTAAACTCTGACCGCGTCAACCTTGTTGCACTGGCTAGTCCTATTGAATTTTTGCTTTATTTACCCAATGTCCGAGCGAAACAGTACAAACTGGGACCGGAAAGGTTGACCCGGCTCAGAAATTCAAATGTACTACGGCTGCCCGTGCAGTGAGAACAAACTTTTATTTTATCATCTTTGACCAACATTTTCAACCCCATGAATTCCTCATCAGCAACAATTAGTAAATTAAGGTAGTTTTATGCGAAGTTTTCATAAAAAGCTTGGCATTTTCATCTCAAAAGACGATAAAATTGTGTAGAACTGCTTTTTCAGAAAATCAAAAAATTTATGTAAAGATGGGTTCTCATATCAACCAATTTTGTCTAGAAAACATCCCTCACTATAGCTCTGGATGTTTTGTTGGCAACTCTTGGAAAAATCAAATTTCCATAACTTAAAGTTGTAAATAATTATCATGAAGACAAAATTTTGGCAGTGTAAGCATATTCAACTTTCAAACGAAAGTATAAAGGTTAATTTCATTAAATTCTATTCCTTTTAAACAAACAAAATTATAATAAAGTTTATAATTTGAATAATTGTTGAAATTAAACACAAGTTTAGAATAAAACATAAATCAAGAAACATTTCTCTTTTTCTTTTCTTTTTTTTTAACAATATACAAATAGAAATGGGCCTGTTCTCTTTTTTTATTTTGTTTTATTGTCTTGCGTAAAAACACCATTTTGTTCGTTTAAAAAAAGTAGTTTTTTCGAAATTATTGTTCATTGTACGAAAAACTATCGTTTTTCTCAGAAATAGTCGTTCAATATTGTTAAATATTGTTTATTATTTTTTTTCATTGTGTATTATTGTATATTATAGTCTATTATAGTTATTATTGTTTCTTATAGTTTATTTTTGTTTCTTATTGTTTCTTATAGTTTATTAAGTTTAATATTGTTTATTATTGTTTATTATTGTTTATTATTGTTTATTATTGTTTATTGTTGTTTATTTTTGCTTATTATTATTTATTATTGTTTATTATTGTTAATTATTATTTATTAAAAATATAAAAATAAATAAACATACAAATATAGATATGGTATTTTCCCAAAAGTATTTCCCTAAGGGCGACTTTCCAAGAGGCAACTTCCCAAATGTTCATTTCCCAAGCGGTAACTTCCCAAAGATTTGGTCAAGCCTTCTGAGGTGCCGCAGGGGTTAGGGAGCCAAGCACAGCGGCAAAGCCAGAGTTGGGATGTTCCCGCTTGGGAAATTGCACATTTATAGATTTATTTAAATACAAAACATTTTTGTTCTTCTCAATAGCTCTAGAATTAAAAACCTGTCAAATGTTAATCTAATTTGCAATTAACTTGAGCTAAATCTATCAATTGAGCCAGCTGCAGGTAACATCCATGCATATAAGATTCACAATATATACATGTACTTAAATATTCAGACCCTCTTGCTTGATATCTATTTTTTTCCACGGGCAACACCGGGCACCTCAGCTAGGATTAGATATAATTAGAAAGGTACATTCTTAATTAGGTTATCCTGAGTGTTAGGGGGGGGAGGGGTTCAGATGGCAGGGGGAAGGGGAAGGGAAATATATTGACCAAATTTGATAAAGATCCGTTATACTTCAGTACTTCGGCCATATTATAGCTAATAGAGGGATTAGAAAGAACAGACAGGCTCACCCAAAAAGCATAAGACTCTAAAGACGACCTAGAACTTTTTAAATTCCTCGTTTAAATATATTTTTAGTGTTTTTTGTATTAACTTTACATCATATTAAATATATAGCTTTGGAACCCAGGTTTGTCTGGAATTGAAACTTTTGCTATACAAGTTAACTCACTTAACATATAGTTGATAAACCAAGCAAAGAACATCCCCGTGGTTCAACCGAGTTCCCCATCAAAAATTTGAGGCAAATTAGCCAAGCAAATAGAGATTACTACACAAATTTTTTAATCAGAGTTTGTGGAAATGACTCAATTTCTTTAGATAAAAATAATTATATAAATATTTCGTTATATATAATAATTTATATAGGATTCCTTGTGTTCTGGGTCTCTCTCTTCTAATGGGACAAGGTCTCCTGAAATATTTTGGGATAAAACAACAAATAAAAAATATTTGCATGGGTTTATAGTAGTTACATTTTTTAAATTCTTTTTTATATTGCTGATATTTTTATACTGCCCGACTTTTACGTTACTATTCATTAAAAGTCACAAAATTTCACAGTGATAGTGACAAAATGAGAGTGCTTAGAAAAAAAAGAACTATATATATATATTTTAGGGCCGGCCCAGCCTGTTAACGGTTAAAAGCTAAAATAGTTAATGGGAGAAGCCTAGTTTTTATTAAACTTCTTTAAATAAATTAGTTAAAAATACTCTACAGATTGACCCTGAGAAGTAAAACGTTTAAAACGACCTTTTCAAATGACGAGTTCATGGTGTATCTATATTCTTGTATATATATGGACATCTGTTATAAAACCAAGCCTTTATACACTCAGCTTTATACACTCCTGAATGTAAACCTGGGCTTAACCGTACTGGGCGAGCCTAATATTTGGACTCTGACACCAAGTTTAATTAATTTGAGAGAGGTCGCTGAATATTTTAAACAACCACTAATGTGAATTCAACTTATAAAAATAATTTGCCATTATTCCAACCAATCAGAGCGCTACAAATATCTGGTTCATCAATATATTGGCCAAGGGTAGTTAAAATTTAAGAACTGTAAGATGTTGATCAAGCCATAACAAATACGTGGTTGAACCATCTCAACGTAGGTCAAAAACCTCTTTTATTCATTAAAGTCAGTCCCTGATTCAACCAACGTATAGATGGACTCGAATTCTTATTTTCTAATGAAATAAGCTTTCAGGAAAAACACTCAGACCACACTAAATTAAGCAAGTGGGGTTGGTCAAATAGTTCTATGACAGGCCGGGTACTGTTAAAGTATGGTCACGCTATTAAAGTTCTAACCAAGTTGTACAAAGTGGTCAGTACGATTTCAATTTAAGTTGACCTTAGTCCACCGTGAGAGATACAAGGAAAAAATATATATAAAGATTACCATGTATTAGCACCAGGATATACCAGACAACTGCAAAGAGAAACCATGAGAAGAAGAAGGAGGCGGCGAAGCTGAATAGTGTCCAGGACCAGGGAAGGTCAATCATAGAGGTAAAAAAATCTTTCAGGTACCTAGATATTAACTTTCAGGTACCTAAGTATATTATGCTTTCAGATACCTAGGTATATATTCTTTCTGGTACCTAGATATATACCTTCAGGTACCTAGATATATACTTTCAGGTACCTAGATAAAATACTTTCAGGTACCTAGATAAAACATTTTTAGGTACCTAGATATATACCTTCAGGTACCTAGATATATACTTTCAGGTACCTAGATATATACCTTCAGGTACCTAGATATATACTTTTAGGTACCTTGATATATATACTTTCAGGTACATAGGTATATCTAATTTCAGGTACCAAGATATATACTTTGAGGTACCTAAAATATAAACTTTCAGGTACCTAGATATATACATTCAGGTACCTAAAATATATACTTTCAGTTACCTAGATTTATATACTTTCGGGTACTTAGATATATACTTTCAGGTACCTAGATAAAATACTTTTAGGTACCTTGATATATACTTGTACCTAGGTAAAATACTTTTAGGTACCTAGATAAATACTTTCAGGTATCTAAAATACATTTTCAGATACTTTGGATACATATTTTTAAATACTGTGATATCCTTTCTGAATATAAACTATTTTCAGAAATACTTTATGTTTCACCTTGACCTAAACCCAAATTTCTGTACAAAACGTTTTTTGGTTGATTTTAGTACTTTAAGTATTCAAATATGAACAGATTTTTATAAAAATGTATAATAACGCAAAAAAAAATACGTATTTATGAATTTGTAAGAAGTAGCTTAACTAGGTACGGTCGGTTGAACTAAACTTCTTCTGTGAGACAGTCGAGCAATTTTAATTGAACAACATTTTTTTGACTCAAATTCTCCGACAAGTTTCTAATTGATTTAAGTAACAACTCGAAAAAATCTTTTAAAAAACTGTTATAGTAATTTATATGACATTACTGTGATTATTTAGGTGGAAGTTATGTTATTTTTTTCACATTTTAAGATAGACATATCTGATTTACAACAGACCTCATTTAGTCAATAATGTCGAATTTAGAGTAATTTTTCCATTCTGAAAAATGTTTAACTTTTATACTGAATCTAAGTTTTGTCACTCTCTTTAGTTGGAGGGTTACTCGAAATTGCGTCTTATACATTCCCGTTTAATTAAACATAAAACATGCTTATATACCACAATTTGACATACTATGCATAATTTTTTTTTTCGGCAGATGCGTTTAAAATTGAGAACAGCTCTTTAAGTTTAAATATTGCTGAAATATAAAGACAAACTGTGGAAACTTTTGACTTATGCTTAATCCGTTTTTTCTCTCTTTTTAGTACCTCTAATTTGTTCTGAGCTGGGAACTTTTGAATGGTGGATATGGTGGATATCGGGATTAATGCTTGATCCACTCTTTTTCTTAATCTTAAGATTACATAATGCTTGTTTTCCTCTTTTTATTAATCTCCCGATCAATTAACCGATCGGGATTAAGGATATCACATTCTAAAATTTTCAGCTCTGATCAATGAGAGTTTTCTCATTTCTAAATTACAAAATTTCTCAGCTTCTGATTGGCTCTTCGGGTTTCTCCAAACGCTCTATTGTTTGGTTAAATTGTATGCACTTGTTTGGATACACAGTACACACTAGAGATTAAACTAATCTTGAGATTAAAAGAGGAGATCAAGCATTGATCTCGATATCCACAATTCTAAAGTTGTCAGCTCTGCTTGCATACAGTACAACATGGGCAAGGTGCATGGGATAAGAGAATAGGTTTAAAATTAGCAGCTGTGAATAAGATATAGGTTAAGGTTGAGATTCATGCAAAATATCCAACCTAATATTAACCTAATATTAACCTAATATTAACCTAATATTAACCTAATATTAACCTAATATTAACCTAATATTAACCTATTAGCGAAGAAAATATCAAAAATACAAATTTTCAAAAATGAGATTACTTGACAAGCACGTTGGACTAGTATTGACATGTATTAACCCCCCACCCCTTCACAAACTTTATCAGACAAAAATATCCCAACATGGATAGAAAAGGTTTTCAAGAAAATTTGCAATTTTACCAATTTTTAAATCCTAAAAGCAAATAAAAGATGAAATGAAAAAGATTTTATACTTATCAATCTTTTGTCTTTTGAGGTTAAATAATTTTGACCTTACTTACATCAATTTTAAATAACTTTTTAGACCATAAAACTTATTTACTACTTATCTATATTGGAAAATCCACGATTATATTCCCTGTAAAGCTGGTTATTTAATAATAATCTCTTAGAAAATGTGTTATCATGCTGTACATGTAAAATGTTTAAAAATTCTTAGATTTTATATATCCTTAACCTATCTTTTACAATGTATCTAAAATATATGATATTAATATTAATTAAATTAAAACTATCTTCACTTTGCATGCTGGCACCCTATACTGTAGCTTGATACTGCTTAGAATAGGTTCAATAAAAGGGATTTTATCATGCTTTTAGGGCTTTTAAGTTTAGAATTCATTGATATAGTTTATTTTGTTTTTTACATAAGATTTTCTATCTGGGTGTCCCACGAAACATGACAGTTTCAATTTGAACTATTTTACGGTATTCTCAATATCTCTCGTAATGACAACACAAAAAAAGGCAGACTACATATTGGAAATCCCAGGACTAGGATAATTTTGTGGTTATGGTTTCAAGAATTATACATGTGAAAGAAGGTTAATGTATCAAATAAATTCAAAGATCAAAGACCACTTTCAAATAGTCTTGCTACTGTCATGTTTCGTGGGACACTCTNCTCCTTTTAATCCCATTACATTTAATGCTAAACTAAGCACACTAAAACCGCAGAAGGAAATAGAACTTTCAGGGTTCACCGAATATACATGGGAATTCAGACTTTAATACCGTCTTTCATCAACGCAGCATTATTTCGTAAACACCATTTTAACGTGGTATTCAAATTGAGACAGTAACACCGAAAACTGCAAGCCTCGGGATTTCCAAAATGTTTTGCAACTTAAAGATTGATGGAGATATAAAATAATTTGTCCAAACTGCATTATATTAAACTAACTGCTCTAAAATATAAATTTTTTCAATTTGACCGTTATGTGAGTTCTCACAAAGAAATTGTAACTAATCGGTTCAGCAGTTTTGACGTTTATTGGATACAAACTGACAGAAAGGCAAGGAAAGTATATTTATAGTTAAAGATACGGCTAGCGAAGGAAAACCACATTTATCAACTATTAGAAATCAAAGACGAGTTTTAAGTTGTCTCTGAATTCCCATTTTTATTGGGACACCCTGTAACATAAACCCTTTATACACAGATGTTTTTCAGTCCTTTAATACGTATATTTTTGTAAAGTTTTTTATATTCGTCAATCATAGTTTAAATATTTTTAGGCCACTTTTGAATATTATAATTTCATGTCAAACTTTTAAATTTGTTTTATACATAAATTACATTTTAATATTCAAACCCCAGGAAGGGTGCCGAACCTCTTACCAAAGGAGTAATTTTTTTTTCAAATTGAATGTATTTTTTTATGATTTTATCAAAATATGAAAAATGGAAAAATTAAAAAGGCAATTTACAATTTTCAAATTTGTTTTTAATGTCAAGCGTTTTATTATAAACAAGAACAAACTTCTCTGCTAAAAAAAAGAATAACCAACCCAAATCTAAAATTTTGTGGTATTGAAGAAAAAACTGAGTGTATGCGTGATTTCAAGTGACCCTCCAAATGTAGAGTGACATGTCCGATGCACAACAGTAACATTTAACTGATTAACTTTACATGTGATGTGTAGAGATACGTAGATATGAACGACGTGCGCATAAAAAGTGTACGTCAATTTCTGGGAGAAATACAATTAGAAACATGATTCACAACAGTACCCTTTTAATTGTTAATTGATTATGGATATCAGACTTATTGAACAATTGTCTTCAAGCTGTCTAGATGTTTTATATATAAACAATATTAATATTTACACTCTACCCGCATAGAAATAAATATTTGCATCGAATTTTGAAAACCGGGCATATTCTGGATTTCGAGGATATGTATAATGTCAGCTGTGTTATGTACACTCCCGTTTTTTTCTGCCCTCGATCATTGATCAGTCTACGGTCTTAATGGTACCATTGAAATTTAGGCATTCCCCCCCTTTCCTGGAGGGTCACTTCAAATTACGCTTACAGTCCCTTTCATTTCCTCGTTGAAGAAATTTCAAACAACAATTTTGTTTTAACTTAAAAAATTTGTAATGCAATTTTCATCTCTATCTTTTTATATTTCTTTCATTATATGAGGTTATAAAATTTAAAAAAAACTTATCTGAAATGGAAAGTTGCCATTTGCAGACTCTATGTTTAAAGAAAAGTTGTATGTAATAAAATCTAAAGATGATAAAAATAATCTTCTTTTGAAAAGAATAAAAACTGAAAAAAAGCTTCAACTCACCAAAGAAGTTTCGAAATTTCGCGCATTTGTTAAAAATTTTGAACATAATTTTAGGGATATCTCAAAAACTTTTAAAACTCTGTCATTATGTTTGTAAATTCTAACAAAATATCTGTCTTTTCGAAATTCTTCTGGCTTGTTCGATATTAAGAGCAAAATTTTAAAGTTTTTTCTAACAGTGTATGAAAAATTTTGCTTTATAATTTTAATAGTGTTTAAAATCTACTAAATGAAATACGACTTCGTACCTATGTACAGTTAAGTTTTTTTATGTACATTTTATTTATTTTGGAAGTAATTAATGATGAAGGAAAAGTCGCGTGTTTAATACCTTAAATTGAAGTTTAAGGTCAACAGTGCTTTTCTATCTTTCATCTTTTTCCAGGTCTCACTTAAATCAGGATAAAATAGTTTATGTTCCACACTTTACCGATATTGTACCCTTGGAGCAGGAAGACGTGGAGGTGGACTTGACCCTTACCGTCACATCATACAATTTAATTCATGTTTTAAAGACGGTCCTCCATTTTGAGATAAAGAACATTAAAGGTCGTCTTTTTATCAAATGATTTTTTACTTCATCAAATAAAACATTTTAAAGACATAACTTTTATGTTCCTATTTTTTAAAACAAAATATATCTTCGTTGTTCTTCACCCAATAATCCAAGCCGGCACAATACGTACTGTATATGCATCCTGTCGTAGTATTCTGTCTGAACCCAGTGTAAAGTGAACCCATGGCACGAACTATGTAACAAATGTAGCCTGGCAAGATCACATGGCATTATTCATGTACACGGAGTTTGTACATTTTATAGTTTAGGAAAGTAAAACTGTCAAAATTTATCCAAAAAGACGGCATTTGAAAAATTCTTTTTGAAATAGACAACCGTCTGCAAATATGTATTAAATCATAAAATGAGGCGGAATCCAAATAGATTATTAAGTACAATAGGTGGCAACAGAGAAATGGATCAATTATTCACTACGTCACAAGTGTCAATATAACAAGAAAAACGGAATTTTCTCAAATTGGTTGACATGTTTCCCAAGATTAAATAAAAAAGTGTAAAACCAGAAAAAAAGAACAAATACAATTGCACTTATTTTACTGTATGATACGCACTTTTTTCTAAAATTATCACTATTATTGACAATTTTTTCATCTATTGTACTAGAATCTATTTGGCGGAATGGGTCGATTCTAGCTCCATTTCTTTCTACACCGTGTTTGTACAGTAATTCTAACTCTCAACTTTGTGCGCTTCATATAAAACAAATTAAGGAAGATATGTACGTGCTTACACAAAAAGTGTACTGCAATTTATAGGAGGAAACAAACCCCAGCCTGTGTAAAGTGTAGATATATGTTAAAACTTAAGTTTTAAAAATACTTAAAATTTCTAACATACAATTTCTATCATACGTGAACATGATTAAACAATTAAAAGATACAATTAACTTTGAAAAGTCTTCATACATAAATATTACATATAAAAAAAGTGGAATCATATACATATTAAATACAAAGAAAAAAGTGCAAAATCTGTATATAATACATACAAAGAAAAAAAGCGCAACATATATATCTATATGATAAAACAAGGCATTCATATATATGTGTTCCTTCTGGCCGGCCGAACAGCTGGACCGAATGGGCTGACATTTTTTGTGGACACTCATGGGTAGCCTGGGGTTGACATAAACTAAAAAATTTTTCTTCTTCAAATTTTTTTATTCCACGGGAAACGCCGGGCACTAGTTAGTGTTACATAAAAAGAAAAAAGTGCAACATATACATATTAAATATAAAGTGCAACCAGTTGTTTGTTACATAAATAACAGATACTACAATATGTTATTTACTCAATAAATGTCAGATGGTGCAAAATATTGAAAAACAATGTATATTATGCATTTGTTTGCCGTGTAGTGTAGAAGCATTAATCAAATAATAATAAATGTTTTTTATATCAAACCTGTTACATTAGAATAAAAACTGGCTTTTCAACACAACAAATGCACTATACAATATACATTACAAGGTTGGCTTTCTACAAAATGTTAAAGAAAAAAAGTTGCTTAGTACTCATCAGCTTATTTAACATTTTAGCTTTTATTACAAAACCTTTTTGCAACTACTTTATTTAAATACATAAATTTCTTGTCCTACAAATGAGTATTTAAAATATACATTTTTGAATATAAGTGCTGAGGATCCATTTCATTTCATATTTTGAATTTAATCTAGTAAAAAAAATATTTTTTTGCTATTACTTTACTACCAACATGGATCCGAATTTGTAGTTCCGTTAATTTTTACGGATCCGGTTACAGGGAGCCGGATCCGGATAAAGGAAGCCGTATCCTAAGCACTTAATTTACCTGTGCTGTTCTTCGTTTTCTTCTGCTCTTCTGAAGGTGTTTAGTTTGCCATGTTTTGAGACGACCCTGTTCCGCTTGGACTGAGCATGAATGACCCCCAAGATACCAGATTTTTTCTTGAATGGATTCCACCTAGAAATAAGAAACAATCAAAACAGTTTTCTTGGATGGATTCCACCTAGAAATAAGAAACAATCAAAACAGTTTTCTTGGATGGTTTCCACGTAGAAATAAGAAACAATCAAAACAGTTTTCTTGGATGGATTCCACCTAGAAATAAGAAACAATCAAAACAGTTTTCTTGGATGGTTTCCACCTAGAAATTAAAAAACAATTAAACGGGTTTCTTGGATGGATTCCACCTAGAAATAAGAAACAATTAAAACAGTTTACTTGAATGGATTCCATCTAGAAATAAGAAACAATTAAAACAGTTTTCTTGAATGGATTCCACCAAGACATAAGAAACAATCAAAACAGTTTTCTTGAATGGATTCCACCTAGAAATAAGAAACAATCAAAACAGTTTTCTTGAATGGATTCCACCTAGAAATAAGAAACAATCAAAACAGTTTTCTTGAAAACAGTCAGGGAACGTCTCTAAATTTAAAATGAGAAAATTCTGCCAATTTCCTTAACGGTCTTTGCTGCATCAAAGCTCAGTAGGTATAAAAGCTTTTTTTTGAAAAAAATCATATCTATGTTGAAATAAATTAGTAAAATTTGCTTAAGACAAAAAATAAAAGGTTTATGTTAAACAACAAATACAAAACAGAATGAGAAATATAAAATCAATTAATCTGTACCAAATAGAAATATGCACTAAAAGATGAATATCAGTTTGGAACGGAGAATATTTAAGTGTGTGTCTTGATTTCTCTGTCAGAAAGGATATTAAGATTGGTCTCTACGTTTTTCATTAAGTACATCCTTACAGAGACCAATCTCAATATCCTTTCTGACGGGTAATCAAATTCAACCCAACACATTTTGCTGATATTAAAATCCTTTTAAACAAAAAATATCTAATATACCTATTAAAGTTACAGAAAAAAAGTCATTAACAATTTTTTTTCTTAAATTTTTATTTGCTTCTTGGTTAAAATTACTTGTTAATTTACATGAAAATGTGCTTTTCATATCCTTCTTGACTATTGTTTCTTGTAATATATTTGACTAGCGGAAGGGCCCGTGAAAAAAATAATGAAAAAAAATCTAATTTTTTTAGCATATACCACTCCCCGGACACCCATGCGTGTCCACAATAATTTTTAGCCCAATTGGTCCGGCCGTTTGGCTGGCTATAGACAACACATACACACACACACACATACGTATGTCTTGTTTTATTATATAGATTATTTTGCAAAAAAAAGGCTTTTTATACAAACATGACAAAGCTAGATTATTAAGGGCTCCATTGTGAATGAGACGTCTTTGAATCGGGTCTCCTATTGCAATTTTAAAATATTCATTTCAGATCGAAGGTTAAGAATCTTTAAATGTTTTGAAAAGGCTCCAATCCTGCTTTTATTACTCACACTGTACAGGGTGACCCAAAAAAAACAGGGATTAGCGTTTTTCAGCCATCTTAATCCTTTTTCTATAATGACTATACTCATTTTTTGGGTCACCCTGCAGTGTAAGCTACAACTTCCCTAATATTAGTAAAGTGATTGAATGAAAGTGGTTGGTGGGGCCGGGGGAGGGGTCCTCTCTATCCGATATATTATGTATTTTAGTGTAAACATGTTTATCAGCAAACTATCATATCCTAAAAAGATAAATTACCACACATCAAAAATAAAAAGCATAATGTAGACAATTTTACTTACACAGCACATCAATACATCCGGGTTTTTTGTCAATGATGATGTTCTATATTGAACATTTTATATAAAATAATCTAATGAAACAATTTATGATCGTTAAACTCTTGAAAAATTCCTATATTTTTGCAACCTGATGGTGGAAATCCCCTTTGGCAAGAACACCACAACCTCAAAAACCAAATATTCAAATTTAAGGAAAACCTCAAAAAAGTGTACGCTAAACAGTTAGGGCTGCAAGCTTTTTCAAACAAATGAAAACATTCCCCCCACTATTTTCTCCTCCCAAAGTTACCCCCCTCAAGACATACATCTTTCAGCCTCTAATTTTGTTATAACTCCAGAAATGTTTATAGCTTGGCTTAAGAAATCTAAGCCAAGTGGGTTGACATTTGTTGAGAAAGTATAGCTTCCAAGCTAGCTGGTTGTCCAATAAATATAAAATTTCACTAAAAGATATAAATTTTGTTTTGTCCTTTAAAATGTCAACTTTCTTTGAATTCTAAAAAGATGAAGCGTCTATATTTTATCAACTGGCATCTTGCCCCAATCCGGCACTATTACACTTTTTTGCGGATTTTTTGCTACAGAAACACTGGAGATAATTAAAATGATTAAACACTTTTCAAGCTAAGAAAGAAGCGACAATAACTTTAACATTATTGAGGATATTTGCAGATGGGTATTTTGACTTGCTCCTCTTTAAATGAAAGGTCACGTGAAACTACAACGACTCTCTCTTTAAGTTGAAAGTATGCTGTGGTAGTTTGCCAAACAAATCAGATTTTGTAATAATATGTTGGCGGCTAGGTAGAAAATAAAATGTATTGGACTATAGCTATATTAGCATGATTATCAGTGGCATTTTTAAAGCAAATTTTAGAATAGTTCACTGAAAATCATTTGGATTTGTGTAAATTGCAGAAAGGGGATGGTGGAGATGTCCTATTTGATGTAAGGGAGGGGAGCCTGCCTTCAATTTTGGTTCAAATCTTCCAATTTGTTGGCTACACGCCTAATTAGTGATTGAAATTCCTGAATTTGAATTTTAATGACTTCTAATGACTTCTAATGACCTCCACAAATAGAAAATATTTCAACCATGGCTTTATGCACATCAAACGAAAGCTAGGATCCCAGGGAATACAGTAGCAGCAACAAATCCAGTGTTTGACCTTCTAGTGACCTCTTACGACCTCTAATGACTGTTTTTTTTGGATCGGCACGGAAAGTTTATTGATAATCAAACTTTTTGAAAGATTTCCTAAAAAATTATTTGATTTTCTAAAATAATTTGAAACCCCTCAATGAAAAAAGAAGAATCCGCGAAATTTGACGTTTTTCATGATGGCTTAGAATTATATATTTAAAAAAATAAACAGTTGACTGAAGGAGATTCCTTATTGTGTTTAAACATAAAAACAATCTGGGGGACTGCGGAACATCTTTTGTAATTTCAAATTGAAAACATATGAAGCAAAAAAACTTTCCAATGCATGCAAAATATGTTCACAACCCATGAGCTCTTAAACTAAAAAATTTCCTTGAAAGAAACTATAAAAATTTAATTAAAATTAATTGCACTCTGAACGAAATATAAATGCACTTTAACTACGTAGTTCAAATGGTCAAAAACTAAATATGAGTATATTTGAATCACGTTTGTAGTTGGAAAGTTATCTTCAAATGTTTGTGAACCAAAACTCAACCTTACCATTTATAAAGAGGCTTTTTTACTTAGTTTTCCTTTGTTCTCGACCAGTAAATACTATAATTTTCAATTCAGTTCTTTTAGGAAGTGAGGTTTTCAGGTAGTTAGGACCAAAGAAAATTGTCTTTGTCAAAAACTCTGATTTTCTCATTATCCTTAATCTTTGCAATCCAATGTCGTATATCTTAGATATGATTTCACTTATTGCGTGATTGAAAAAGGAAACATAAAAGTTTTTAATCAATTGTGGGCTTTTATTAAAGAGTGTCTTGCGGATGTCTGCTTACAGAAACAATGGAGTTCATTGTCAGAATTATACAAAGACAGAAAAACGACGATATCCTAGACATTATTGATCAAATAAAGGTGTTTAAGGGTAATCGAACTTGTCCCTCTTTTTAAATGTTAGGGTCTCCTAAATGAAATTACTTCTTCTGTCATATTAAATAACAGTCATTATTCAGGACTGGCTTCATAAATTTATTGTTACTCTAACCTTTCTCCGTTACTGGGCCTTGTTTAAAATTTTTGTTATCATTTACAAAAAAATCTAAACAAACCTTCCCCCCCCTCCCCCGGTCCCAACCTCTTCTACCGACTTCTATTCTCATTGGGTATTTAACCCAGCTTTAGAATTATAAATATTCAGACAAATTTGAAAATAGAATACACGGGGTGGGAATATTAAGAAGGTCCTAGGATATACTATAAAATACGAAGATGGTTGAAATGGATTTAGAATATTAAACACTTTTTCCAATATATATTAAACATTTCAGTTTTCAAATATAAATACAACATTGCAAGTTGAAAAATGTGTATTGCAGTTTTTTAAACATATTTAAAACATTGCAAATATTAAATATCGCAATTTTCAAATATGTTTATATATAAGATTGCAATTTTCAAATAAACATTTCTATTTAGAAAATATGCATTAAACCTTGCAATTTCGATCACACATTGCAAACTATCGTGTTCTAAGATATTGCAAAGATATATGTAGAAATTAAAAACTTTGTTTATGGCAAAACTCAATTCCTTGGCAGAATTTAAAAGGTTCGTTGACACCTGGTTTAAAAATCAGGATAAAAAAGTATATTAGAAGAGAAATAAAATTGTAAATACATTCATTCATTGTACATATGTACATTTATTTATTTATTTATTTATTTATTTATTTATTTATTATTTATATACATACATTCATTGTACATACATACATTCATTGTACATACATACATTCATTGTACATACATACATTCAGAGTACATACATACATTCACCCATACACCTATTGTATATACATACATTCACTGTACATGTATGCTTTCATTGTACATACATACATTCATTGTACATACATATATTCTTTGTACATACATACATTCATTGTACATACATACATTCATTGTACATACATACATTCATTGTACATACATACATTCATTGTACATACATACATGCATTAATAACATGTTAACATCTCAGAACATTATTGTCTTTAGAATCTAGTCGATTTTCCAATACTGTATTTGATTAAATTAACATATTGAGGAATAAGAAAGAAATATAAATATCAAACGAAAATTGTAAAAGAGAGACATGCTTGTTTTCTCTATATGTATTATATTACAATTAGCGAAATATTATCAACTAAATAACAATTTTCGGAAAACAACTTTATTTTTATGACTTTTCACCAATGTATATCTTTAAGGGACTCGACTGTAAACCTAATTTCAAGTAAACCTTCATGCAAAGATGATAATACCAGATTCACAATTGTACCCTTGAAATCTATATGATTAATCATGTTTTTCAAGTTTAAAAGAGTAATTTCAAGGGACCCTCGATGCAAACATGGCAATTCTCGATTCAAAAAGGTTTCCCTAAAAGTTTTGTTAAAATTTTGAAAACTGATTATTTTCAATTTGGGGTTCAATGCACTTAAAATAACGCTTACACACCCTTTTTATCTATATATAATTAAGCTCTTCATATATATATTTGTTTGTATGTTAGCTATAATAAATGGTCAAACTGCTGGACCAAATGGGCTGAAATTTTTTGAGGGAACTCTTGAGTACAGGGGGGTAACATAGGCTAAATTTTTTAAATCGTTTTTTCTTAAATTAGATTTTTTCACGGGAAACGCCGGGCACTCCAGCTAGTACTTAATAATTTGTTATATCTGACCTGCTCTGTTGGAGTGCTCCTGCACTAAAAGGACGCCCGAAGAAACTAGGAGATATTACTTCACTGTTACACATTGAACCATTACAGGGCTCCTCATCTATACCAACCTTAACAATACAAATATATACAAAACCGTCAGAATATGTATGATATCTTGCTAATTTTCAATTTGCTGTAACTTTGTTGTTGTTTGGAAAGGAATTGAGTTTTTGCCACAAATCCCAATTTTATAATACCTAAATCTCAACAACCAGATGATGCATACCTTTCATATTTCAAACTTACATTGTTTGATCCACCAGAATTCATAATTTGAAATATCTGTGGTCTACAACATTTGGTTTTAAAGAAATTGGGATTTAAAAATCCGAGTTTGTGGCAAAGACTCATTTCCTTTGTCCAATCTATAAAAATATTTGAGTAATCAAAATATGAACGTTTTGCTGTATAATATTGGCTTCTTTAGAAAACACCATATTGGAATATGGCTCAAATGAAATAACTGAATTTGCGCATTTTTTAGTATTCAAATTGTAAATTTTCATTGTATACAACAAAATGTTTTCCCATGTTTTGACGACTTCAGTGCAGGGGTCAATATAATTCCCAAAAAAGCTGATTTTCTCGATCCCAAAATAATTTTTTGCCCCCAATTTTTAAAAAAAATGCCCCCAATTAAAATTTTTTTTTCAAATTCCACTCACACATTTGCCCCATTGCCCCCAATTTTTAAATAAAATGCCCCCATTTTTAAAAAAAATGCCCCCAATTAAAATTTTTTTTTCAAATTCCACTAACACATTTGCCCCATTGCCCCCCATTTTTACATAAAATGACCCCAATTTTTAAAAAAAATGCCCCCAATTAAAATTTTTTTTTCAAATTCCACTAACACATTTGCCCCATTGCCCCCAATTTTTAAATAAAATGCCCCAATTTTTAAAAAAAATGCCCCCAATTAAAATTTTTTTTTCAAATTCCACTAACACATTTGCCCCATTGCCCCCAATTTTTAAATAAAATGCCCCCAATTTAAAAAAAAAATGCCCCCAGTTAAAATTTTTTTTTCAAATTCCACTAACACATTTGCCCCCAATTTGAAAAAAATGCCCCCAATTTCTAAAAAAAATGCTCCCAATTTTATTTTTAATTATCATATAAAAAAAATTTGCCCCCAATTAAAGAATTTGCCCCCATTTCTTTCAAATTTGTCAATCCCAAATGGGATTGAAAAAGGAATTATATTGACCCCTGCTTTAGTGCTTTAAATTTTAAAAATGTCTCAGAAACTGAAAACACTATTTTCAAAACTTTAACTGCTCGAAAGCTTTTTTTGAAAAATGACAATTTCTTTATTGATCACATCATGTTTAGAATATAAAAAAGATTAAAAGGGATCGTAGTTGTAGTTTCATGTGACTCTCCGTATTTCACAATACCACCCATATTTAACCTTAATCTGATCAATCTGATCACTAATGTGGACGATATTGTCGTTTTTATAGCTCGAAACACTTCATTCTGACAACTTCCTCCATTCTTTCTGCAGCAGACATCCGCTAGTTATTTTAACAGAAAACCCAAAATTTAAAATAATTATTTTTGATACGGAAAAACTTTTATCGTCCACATTATTGATCAGATTGTTCAGATTAAGGTTAAATATGGGTGGTATTGTGAAATATGGAGAGTCACATGAAACTACAACTACGATCCCTTTTAATCTTTTTTATATTCTAATGAAGGGTACTATTGTGAATCGGACATGCCACTCTTTAATTGGAAAATTACTTTAAATTACATCTCTAGTTCCTGAATTAGATACATATTATATTGAGAGCTAATCTGCAAAAGTAATTCAGAGGAGGTTCCAATGCAAAAGAACTACCAGAATGGAATGATGAGATAAAGAATTAATTCTCAAAATAAAAATGCCCACAGTGGATATTGAGATTATGGGTCTCCAGCTCAGATAATTTACACAAATCCTTTAATTTACTAATCCTGGATAAGAGAGTGTGAAACTAATGGATAATTGGAAATCAATAGAAAATCTTTGCTCAACCATTCTTGCTTTATCTCTATCGACATGAACTCTCAAAAATAAAGTTTTACTATGCGCTTCGCACCCATCTTTATGGTAATAATAAGCATTTTACGCCAGATCTTTCTGTAAACCTTTTCACAACAAAAAAGTTAAGGATGAAATTTTATATATTATCAATCACAACTCTTCTTGTTTGAAGAAAAAAAGCCGATTTTTCGTTCAGAATTCGAGCGCAAAGGGACGGTCCCTCTCTATAGACACTAATTAATGTTTATTTTAGTATGTTGTGAATCAAAATATATTTCGAATATAAAATTAAACTGTAATATCTAATCGTTAATTGTAAATGTCATTATTTTTTATTTTTGTTTTGTTTTTTAACTTTCTTTTTCTAAAATAACACTATTTTATTGCATTCAAAATTGTGCACATACGGGAACAAAATCTACAAAATCTACGAACCTAAATACGTGTAATGATTAATTGATTGTAGTAGAGACGTCGCCTTTGTATACACATTTTACATGTTTTAATGCGAAAAACGTAAATTTCTTGCTAACTCAAATATCAAAAGTTTTCATATTTTAGTACATAATAACGAACACATAATGACATTAAAATATAATAGATTTAAATGTTATTGGGCTGCTGTTACTGAAAAAAAACATCAAATAGTGTCTATAGAGAGGGACCGTCCCTTTACGCTCAAATTCTGAACGAAAAATCGGCTTTTTCTCCGGCCACAGTTGTCTTTGAAAAGTAAGACTATTACCAATCAACAGCAAATAGGCTGTTTAGTTTACCCTGAAATTACCCAAATAAGTGACCGGTCCCTTTAAAGATTTTCCTTTTCCTTTGACGGATTTTTTAAATCGATATTATTTTAAGGCTCTATAACCTTCCCTGGGGTCATTTGAGTTGCCGAAAAAAATTTGTTCCTGTTTGTTCAGCAGTTCTGACCATATGGACACAAAAAACACAATGTGATAACCGAGCATAATATATATAGATTACATTACTGTGAACACAAAGGCAAGTCTGGATTCAGAATATATGATACCAGTTAAGCTGAAATAAAATTACTTTTTCTTTTGTATTTTTCATTCGTTTAACAGACAAAAAAATGCGTTATCTTTGTATTTGGGTCATAATTAAGTTATGTTTTAAATTTAAATCGTGTTCACTTTTTACTGCAATTTTTACTTATGATAAACGTATTTCTGGAACGTTACTAGAACTGAACGTCCTTTTCAGAAATATCAATTCATTAAAGAAACATTGCCCAGACCCTACTCATTTTTAAAATTTGTTTTATTTATATAATGTTCCCCTCTCTTAATGAGTTAAAACCCATGCATTCGTAGTACTACTTAAAAAAGGTTTTTGCTTTTAAATCAAAAAATTATTAAACAAAATTGTCCTTTTTTATTTATTTTCGTTTTTTTCGTTTAGTTAATGAGGGATTTTCGTTAATTTCTTTAGAATTTCTATGTTTTTAAACCTAATGATGTAAACCATTGATATTTCAAACTTAGATTAATTAACCCAACAGAATTCACAGTTTGAAACATCTAAAATCTACGACATTGGGTTGCAAATATTGGAAATTAGAGTTTTTGAACAAGTTTCCTCTCTGATCGTTTTCAGAAGATTTCCCAGACCTAAATTTGGAATCTAAAGGTTTCCCAGACCTAAATTTGGAATCTGATGGTTTCCTAGACCTATATTTGGAATCTAAAGGTTTCCCAGGCCTAAATTTGGAATCTGATGGTTTCCTAGACCTATATTTGGAATCTGAAGCTTTCCCAAACCTAAATTTTGAATCTGAAGGTTTACCAGACCTATATTTGGAATCTGAAGGTTTCCCAGACCTATATTTGGAATCTGATGGTTTCCTAGACCTATATTTGGAATCTGAAGGTTTCCCAGACCTATAATTGGAATTTGAAGATTTCCCAGACCTCTATAATTGGAATCTGAAGTTTTACCAGACCTATATTTGGAATTTGAAGGTTTCCCAGACCTAAATTTGGAATCTGATGGTTTCCTAGACCTATATTTGGAATCTGAAGGTTTCCCAGACCTATATTTGGAATCTGAAGGTTTCACAGACCTAAATTTGGAATCTGATGGTTTCCTAGACCTATATTTGGAATCTGAAGGTTTCCCAGACCTATATTTGGAATCTGAAGGTTTCCCAGACCTATATTTGGAATCTGAAGGTTTTTCTAGACCTATATTTGGAATCTGAAGGTTTTCCAGACCTATATTTGGAATCTGAATTGGAGTTATAAAAGCAGGCAACTATGCACTTAGTGTATTGTGTAAAGGTCTTAGCAAAGTGTTTCCACTCTGAAGTAAGTATAAAGAATTTTTCACTTCTTTATACATTCAATCAATCACTAAAGCTGATAAGAAAACTATCCCAAGAGACCCAAACTCCTTTATCCAGAATCCCCCCTTTATCAAACCATGTTCAATATACAGAATGGGACTACACGTGGCCTGCATTGAAAGCTAAAGTACAAAAACCATTTTTGGAACTTGACATTTTTCTCCATTCAAGTCTGAAAAGGATTTTTCTTGTTGAGACAGTTGAAAATTATAAAATTGGAATATACTACATCTTAAAGGGACTGTGAGAGTAATATACTACATCTTAAAGGGACTGTAAGCGTTATATACTACATCTTAAAGGGACTGTAAGCGTAATATACTATATCTTAAAGGGACTGTAAGCGTAATATACTATATCTTAAAGGGACTGTAAGCGTTATATACTACATCTTAAAAAGACTGTAAGCGTAATATACTACATCTTAAAGGGACTGTAAGCGTAATTTCAAGTGAACCTCCAGGCAAAGATGACAATGCCCAATTTACATCTTACCTAGCTTTGTCAGGTCAAGTATGAATTATATATGAATGTTTCTCTACAAAAGTGGCTTGCGCATTTCTACTGCAGGAATACCTATTGGTAATATCAGAAATAATCACTTCAAAATCTCTAAAAACGACAATATCTTACACGTTACTGATCGAATAAAAGTGTCACAGTTA